GCCAGCTTCAGCTTGAAAACCCAGACTGATTATGCTTTGTACCTGGAAAATGTATCGGACCATTTCAATGTTGTAACCAGTGTTTAATTGTGTGAGAAGTACAATAAAATTATAATAGTATCCTTAATCACTTGTTTTCTGTAGGGGTATAATCTGGGCTAGGGGGGTATACTATGGCCTAGTTCAGAATATACCCCGGGGTATAAACTAGGCTAGCCCAGATTATACCTGGGGTATAGTCTGGGCTAGCCTAGTTTAACCCCGGGTATAGTCTGGGACAGGGGTATACTCTGGCCTGTTACACCGGGTCTTCGGCGTGACGAGCCAACACTTTAACAACTAAGGCTACCACACCGCCCGATTTGCCGAAAGAGAGTAATTACAATACATTAATTTCTAGAGCTGACGTACATATTGTGTATGACAGCTGACTTACACATTGCACAGGAAAATTCATATGTATATATTGTACAGGAGAGCACACGTATGTGCTGCATAGGAAAGCTCACGTCTATGTTTCATATGGTAGAGCATATGTGCTTATTGTTTCGAAGAGCTCGACCATACATTGTATAGAAGAGCTCACGTATACATTGTACAGGAAAACTGACATGTATATTTATTGTACAGGAAAACTCACGCATGTGTTGTACAAGAAATCTCACTTATATATAAAGCTCGCGTATATATATTTTTCAGGATATTGAGTGAGTGAGTTTTGTTTAACGCCGCACTCAGCAATATTCCAGCTATATAGCGGCAGTCTGTAATTAATCGAGTCTGAACCAGACAATCTAGTGATCGACAGCGTGAGCATCGATATACGATCCCGTTAGTCGCCTCTTACCACAAGCATGGGCTACTGAAGATCAATTCTAACCCGGACCTCGTACAGGAAACCTCGCGTGTATATTGTACAGGAAACCTCACGTGTATATTGTACAGAAAAACCCACGTGTATATTATGCATGAGCTTCACATACGCCCTAAATGGAGGCTGATGAATATATTGCGCACGCGCGTACGCACACACACACACACACACACACACACACACACACACACACACACACACACACACACACACACACACACACACACACACACACACACACACACACACACACACACACACACACACACACACACACACACTGTGTCAATTTGAATTAATGCAGCAACTTCAAGAAGTAACGTAGAAATAAGTATTTTACGTGTGTTTCAAACTATAATAACATAGCGTTTCGCCCGACAAATGTACGTCTCAGTAATAATATATATAATTTAAAAGATTGCTATTGTTGTCCCTGTTGGCATATTATGAATAAATATTTTAGCAAACTTGAACATGCTGAAAATTAAGAATAAAATGTTCATTAAGTCCATGTTCCATACAAATGTATAAAGTTGCGTGGCTGCCGACAAAGAACCCCTTATCACTTTACATATTCATCCTGTGTGCCGAGGTGCTAGCAAGTATGATTCAATAAAGAACATGAGAGGTAATTAAGTAGATAATCTTGAGTATGTATTGATATAGTATGCTGACGATATTGAATTTTTACTTGATCGTAACCAGTCCTCATTTGACTAATGTATTAAGACTATGATCTTTTGCGGATATATCTGCCAGATATACACTGCTGTAAACATAATACTTAAGTAACTAAACTGGAGGAATCAGAAGTACTATCGTATGAACCATACAACAACTGATTCTGAAACACCTGCAATGAAAGAAAACAGTACAGACTGCTTTTAAAATAAATAGAAAAGAAGATGCAGGGAACAAAGGGACATTTGAATCCAAGTGGCAACACGACCGGACCTGGTTGAAATATGAAGACGTCCAGAATGAAGGCATGATATTTTATTCTCTGTGTCAAAAGTGGAACACGAAAGGGAGAAGTTGGATTCATGGTATGGAATAAGGAGAGTTGTCAGACCATTAGACGTGATAAGGTATCATTGCACAAAAACTCTCCGATGCATCAATATTACATGAGAAGGACGAAGCAGTTTCCATTGAGAATTCTTTCAGGAACCCTTCTGGGCATGATAATGATGTCACGGAAGGTTCTGTATTTTCTTATAAAGCATAACTTGCTCCATACCACACTCTTTGAACCAATACTTGATTTATGCATTCAGCATGGGGCTCCTAACATTGCCAATATTTACTCTGTTAAGAATACATCTTTCAAGGATCATAGGACATTACAAGAGTTTCTGGAATGCCAAACTGAAGTAGCAGAAGAATTGGATAAGAAGTAAAGGAAAGCAGATCATTGGATTCATGTTTGATAAGTAAACAGACGTTTCACCGAGGAAACATCTTACTTTTGTTGGACGTTATGTTGAGGATGCGGAGTCCAAGCTAACTTATCTTTGCAATCAGGAAATCCCAAACGGAACTGCGGACACAACTGATGGGCCTATTTAAATGTTACCCCTACGGCGCGGTTAGATCTAAACGCCTTGAGAAAATGTAGATTTTGATGAAAGAAATGGAAGGCTCTGAATCAGGAAATCACATCACAATCAAGAAGGCAGTGCATACCAGATGGCTGAGTCATGAAAAGAGCAGTACATGCAGTAAGGCAGTGCTACCCAGCAGTTCTTGTAGATCTGGAAAATACAGCTGGCATGGGCAATGACAAGAGGGTTGATGACAAGCTTAGTGTAACTGCTAAACAGCTAAAGTCATATAACAAACTACTCCTCTGGCTATGTCTGTTCAATGTTGGCTTCCTGACAAAGTTGTTTGAAAGGAGAGATTTGGCTTGCGTGTTGTTGAACCACAACTTCGCACCAGAAGAGAATGAAGAAGAAGCCAGGACCATGTCTCTCCAAGGTTCGACAGCTTGCTGCTCAGTATGGTCAAGAGATGGCAAAGAGCAGTCAGATAATGTACAGCCTTCCGTGGATACCTTCCTGGACCAGCTGATGGCGAACTTAGGGGACAGACTGCAAGTCACACCAGTCCTCACAAGTCTGACATCCCTTGACCTGAGGAAAGATAGGGATTCCTCTTTTCTTACAATTCATGAAGATGCTGTGGTGTGCTTGTAATGCATGATATTGTTGCATTATGTTTTAAACACTGATTTAAAATTATTGCTAGCTAGAGGGCCTGAAAACTGATTCATAATAAACCATTTTATGGTAGATTTATATCTATCTACCTACCTATCTATCTGTAATCAATATTTTATAAACATATATATTTAAGTATGACGTCGTTGTTGAAAATATTCCAAGTAGCTATTTGTATGTTATATCTTTACAGGTGTCAGAACTTGCAGAACAATTCCAGTAGGATGCAGACCAAAGTCTTCTTGAGCAGAATCAAGTGTACGACTCTTCTCTCACGATAGCTCACCCGCAGCCATGCTCAAAACACTGACAAGCCTGAAGCCACAACTGGGCAACCTGTATCCATGCATAGTCAAGCTGCAGAGTGTCTATGCTGTTGTCATCTTGTCTACATCAGAAGTGGAGAGGGTTTTGTCAAGAGTGAAGCTCATTGTTACATACCACAGAAACAGACTGAGTGTTTAGAACTGCAACATGCTCTTCATGATCAGTATTAACACATCATCAACAGCTGACATTGACACGGGCAAAATGGTAAGAATGATCTTTGTTTCTCTTGTCAGATTAAAAAACACAAACATCGTTCATTTCTTGTGGGAAAGAGATGTAATTAAGAACCTTGGGGCTTAAACCAGTGTGATCGTGTGTGCAATGTGAAACTAAAGTACTGGATTTATACTATTTAGTGTTAAACAAAACCTGACAACAGACAAAGGTTTTTATTTCATTTTCATTTTTGACAATTTTTCTATTTACAAATGCAAATATCAAAATGCAAAAGTTTTCACTACATTTATACAGAAAATGAACTACATTACTCGTAAAATAGAAAAGGACAGCTTTTATAGACAGTGATCAAGAAAAATTCAACTAGGCTTGGATATTGTACCATGTGCTTTTAGCATTATTGGAGCAGCAATAAGCAAGATAATCCATTTGTACAATAGGTTCTGTTTGTTTAACGGCACACATGACAGCTGTCCGTAAATATTCGAGTCTGGACCAGACAATCCAGTGATCAACAACATGAGCATCGATCTACGCAACTGGGCTACGATATGTGTCAAACAAGTCAGCGGCCGATTCCGTTTGTCGCCTCTTACGACAAGCAAGGGTTGCTGAAGAGCAATCTTCACGGGTTTATTATAGGTTATTATAGAATATATACTTAACATGTTATATGAGACCACGGGACATATTACACACCGCCAGGTTGTGTGTAAGTATGTGGATTAGTGTTTGTGTTAATGGGACAAAAGCCTTCTTCCTCTATGCATCTTTTAAACACCCATGGAAACACAATATTTTAAATGCATCTCATGCTGTGGAACTCGCATAGCGTGAGCTATCCCACATGTGACAATAAAGGATGAAATATAGGATATAACCAAGACATAATTTCAGTAATTTGTATGTGATTTTTCATAACGATTTTGACACAAATAAACTTAGTTCGTATAAACAGGTGACATGGATCAGGTGGTCAAGCCTAATGATTGATGGTGTCTAAACTATTGTCTGAAAAATCGATGTTTTTATTAAATTTGTTTTCATTCAGCGCACATTGTCTTGCTTGATAAGAAGTCTACATCATAGCATCTGTACATAAACACACTAATCCAAAATGCTCTCTCGCAGTCAGTCGATATTTTAGTAGTGACAGTTGTATTGGAAACTTCGACCATAACAGTTACTATAAGTACGTCAACAAAGAATATAAATTATATATTATAATATGTTTATACTTCAGAAATATTTCAACCCGTGAAGGTCCGGGTTAGAATATTGGTCTTAAATAACCCATGCTTGTCGTAAGAGGCGACTAACGGGATCGGGTGGTCAGGCTCGCTGACTTGGTTGACATATGTCATCGGTTCTCATTTGCGCAGATCGATGCTCACGCTGTTGATCACTGGATTGTCTGGTCCAGACTCGATTATTTACAGACCGCAGCCACATAGCTGGAATATTGATAGTTGTGTGCGGCGTAAAACTGAACTCACTCACTCACACAGATATATTTCAGTGGAAATAACAGCTGGATCATCAGAAACGGTCTTCACACGTTGTACCCTGCTATTCCCTTATCCACTGATGTCACAACTTGTGGACCAATGTATCTTCTTTACATCTCTCCATCGTGAAGGGTCAGGGCGGTTTTGGGTCTGAAGTGCGTGTTACTTGGCAAGACATACGGTTGTTGCCGATGTATCGTCTCCAGTTCTTTCTGAAGAGTCTGCACTTTTCTGTAGCGCTTCCACCTGGAACACAAAAGGATGTGACTACCACCAAGTTCGTTAAAGTCTACATGCTTTATTTATGCCACAGGTACATGGTCATATACTACCTAACAACAACAACTACTACTACTACTACTACTACTACTACTACTACTACTACTACTACTACTACTACTACTACTACTACTACTACAATTTATCAGAATAGCTGGGACAAAACCTTTGAAAAGAACAGTCACAAATTTATGATGGAAACCAGGAAATCTATGCACTGTGGCCAGTTTCTGACAAAGGATTTTACAAAATTCAATATGCTGTTTTAATGAATATACAAAATAAGGATGAAATTTGAAGTTTTCTTTCCGAAAATTCAAAATTCACACTACTCCGACCATGGGCTTGCTCTTTAGGGAAACCATTTAGTCATGGCCGAATATATACCTCGTGTAATGTTTAGCAATCTCATGTATAAAGCGTGTTTTAACGTGAGACAGGAGCGAAGCACTCGTAAATATCAGGAGCAAAGCTTGTTGAGCATTGGCCACGCAACCCATTCAGTTGGTGTGCAACCTTTGTTTTGACCCTCGACCATGTGCAACAATTCAGGTAACATGAACCAATCAACACGCTGGCATACCCATTCCAAAAAAAGCGGATGTTCCTCATATATTGTCGATGAAAAACGCAGAGATGCCAACCCTTACGCTTTGGGCGTAATTATTAAGATTTCGACCATTAAATTACGCCATTACACTTAATCTGTGAAAATTACGCTTTTGTACCCGTTTTGCGAAAATCAATAAAGTGGATACAATTTCACAGGGAATATTTTTCGTAACGCACTAGTGCAGGGGTTCAGAAATGGCCTTATACCGATAGGAATCGCTTACTCTTAGCATTGCACTGATTCAAACTAACTTGTAAGGAATTAAAGTATTTTGTGTCACCTGACCAACAATTTTTGATGTATGGAACTGCATAAGGATTGGTCACCTGTATTTCTGTCTAGAATCTTTCCTATTCATGTGAATAAACCTTTTTAAAAGTAATTTTTATAATGTTATCACCTTTCAATATGTAAGTGTTTTAAGTATTACACTTTTTGGGTCCAAATTACACTTTTTGACCTCCAGTATTACACTTAGGCCCAAAATGGGGTTGGCATCTCTGAAGACGAGATGATGTCTCGGCATGTAACAACTATCACTTTAATACAGCAGATCATATATCTGTCTCACCATTTCTTATATAGAACGGCAATGACGATGGCTGTGAGAAGACAGCATGCAGACACGGAACAGGCAATGGCAACTACAGGAACGTTCCAGTCTGGAACCGTATATAAGGAAGATTAACCGATTAAACACTGTGCGTGTACATGTCATGTTTGCGGCAGATCATGTTAATTGCATAATGGTAATAATGTTGAATTGGAAATTAATAACGACGATAAAGCTTAAGCTATTCATCATATAACCTGTTCATGTTTGTTATAAAAATCAATATTCTCAACGAAATATGTGTGAATATATTTTATATGTATGATCTAACAAGGGAAACAATATTTATCGATACCTACCTGAGTGTTTCACATCAACTGAAATATACAATATAATATTTACGATAATTAATGTTTTAGGCTATATAATTGTACTGTAAAGAAACACCATCCATCATGTTCATAATAAGTTGGTTGGCAACTATTTCTTTCCCTACAAAAGAGATTGTGCGGAAATTTATTGCAAAAAAGTCATTTCGGAAATCAAGACAGATGGCAAATATTATAACCATGAGTTTTAGAAGAACAAATCACTTCATTCTGAAGCAACAACATTATTCAGTAAATGAAATTACAAATGTATATGAATAGGAAACAAGTTCTGTATCAGTATAGGAAAAAACCCAATGTTATATGTATATTTACTGTAATAGTAAAGTATGTAAGTTTTAGTCAGCGGGTAATCTAATTTGAAAGAATTTGTATCCTAACCCCGTTCACTTCTTGTGAATAAATATGATTTAATCAAATCAAATCAAGGATTGAACTCATATTCTGATATTTTCGGTAAAACAATATAGGACACCAAACCTCATGCTATTAATACGCTGTTGGCCACAATTCGGCTTTACTATAATCGTTATATTATAGTGACGTATAAGATAGGGCATGTACCGCTGCACTCGTTGATGTCAACAGCACCACGCCCAAGAGTTGTCTTCCCGGAAGTACAGGCCTTACAATATGTCTGTCCGGCTTCATTCTGGTATCGTCCCTTGTCACATGTTTCACAGAGTCCGTTCAGTAGGTAAGTGCCGGATCCACAGGGAACTGTTCACACGTACGTCAAACATCAAACATGTGACAGGATATATATACGATCGAAATGAATGCAGTCTTATGCCCTTGTCAGCTGTGATCTAGCTATTGTCATGATGGTTGATCATGTGTGAGAATCTGTCCAAATTTCGATCTATGCATGAAGATTCAGATTGAGAATATAATATCAAGACCTTATGACAAGAGGAGTGACTTCAACTTTTCGGCAGTCATCTTTCCTGGTAAGTCGAGTAATATTCAAATAGCTTCAGCCCTCGGTGTGTACATTTAACATCACAATCGAACCCTTTCAACAGAGATTTTAGAAGACGTCATACGACTCTTGTGATCATTGGTTCAGCATCCAAGGCTTTTATGAAGTTCTTTAAACGTTTTACGGTAGGAATATGCGAGAGCATTTCCAAATTTGACGTATCAAACACACAAACGATGTCTTTGTCAATTCAGTATTTTGACTTGAACCATTTACACTCATGAGGACGCACACCCTTTCTCGAATACATGGTAGGCTCACTGTTTGAGAGTCTTTCGTGGATTGTATAATGCCAATGAAATATGAAAATTAGAATAGCTCTAAATGTTTTATTTAAAAAATCACGATACGTTCGGTTTTAAATCAAATGTAGAGCTGTTATAATTTCGTTTTCGTATACCCCTGATTTTCCAACACAGTATGTTTATCTCCTAATTATCCTCCAAAACATATAGTTATGGAATAATCGGAACAGGAGAATGGACTCTGATTTTAGCAGAAATTTCTTATGACTATGGAGATTGTTTTATTGCCATATATAAAGACCTACAATCGTAGGCAACTACCTACTGCAGAAGGCATCAACCCTGGTGAGAGTATCAGGACACGTGACATCTCCTGTGATCGAGGTTGAGTGCTGATTCAAGTAGAAGCTGCTGCCTCCGATGTTGACAGTGAAGACTCCGCTGAGGCTAGAGGTGTTCATGTGTATCACTGCACTCTCCACATCTTTCAGACTGACTATCAGACCAACTAAAGAGACAATTCATACATCTTTTTACCCAGTCGACATATGCCGAAATGTGGGTTGGATAAGAAGTTTGTAGGTGCATCTGTATTGTAGTTTTGCTTTCGTCCGAATAAACATAATTTGGACAACATTTTGAAAAATTGTCCTGAAACGCTTCAGCTGTCTAAATGATAAGAAATACAAATCGAGATTCGAAACCTGGATGTATGGAGTGATCTTTGAAAGGATGAAACAGGTAATTTCTGAAACGCACAATACTGCCATTAGTTTTGTGTGTTTGTGGCTATGTAATCCTTCTTCTCGTTATGGGTCAAGACCGTTTGAAGAAACTATGATAGCGGATTAGATTTAACTCGATTAAACTTGATTTAAGTCACAAATGTAAGAAACACACAAGATTTCCACAGAGTAGATAACTAAAGTAACATTCCATTTTTCAATGCAGGCATTCATATTTGACTAATAGTTTTTACAAAGGTTAATATGATGAATCAGAAACAAGAATAATCCATATCCCCGAGTCAAGGAAGTTAACTGACCAAAGTCTCCAGTCGTCATGTTGTTTATGAACCGGATGCCGATTTTGTTTCGAGATTCTGATTGGTATATGTAGGATCCGTTAGTCCAGTCTATACCCAGCTCCATTATTCGAGCATAGCTCAGCATGGGTGGAAACTGCACTCTTACAATCAGTTAACTTCCTTGCATCGTGAAGAAGGAATCATCTGGAGATGACAAATAACACAGTGACTATATCCGTTATCCGTACACACCAGTTGCAGGGCTGTTTCCGAACGTCACTGTAAACCCGGTGGGGGACGTCGAACGCTTCTTACGTTGTCCCCCCTCACAGTTGTCAATAACAACACTGGTCACCTGGCAACGTTTTTCTATTATACAGGGGATGGAGGGTATTTCTGCTTGGACGACCTCTTTAACTTTGTCTCTTGTCTCGTCCACATTGTCGGCTTCACAAATCAGATCCGTATACTCGGCTGTGTAGTGAACGTCTAGTGCATCTGCTGGGTGGATTTCTACAAACGTGGGAGGTGTATGATTAGAGATTCTGTTCTATAAATGGTGAACAATTTTATGTAATTTGTGGACATATAATTCTAAGCGGACTTATGTATATTATATCATTTACATGTACTTCCATTTTAAAGTCTTTTTAGGGTTTGGAGTGAGCATGAGTAGCATCGAAAGTAAAGTACACAAAGAGCGCAAAAAGGTATGATTTGTTTTCAGATTTTAAACGCTACAGAAACATATTGACGGGGAGAACATACACATAAATGTGTACCAACAGCAATAGTACTGTTTGTATCACATGATTAAATTAAGATGTATCTTGCCCATGCAGTTCGGTAGTCTGTGGTATGGGTTATCTTCAGTTTTGAAGTTCCAGACATATCCGGTTTCATCACCGCACTCGTACATGTCCAGCGGGGGGATGTCGAAGCTGTAGCCTTCGTCGCAACTCACGTTGCAGAACATCATCCTCCCTTTCGTGTCGCAGTCAAAAGTTCCATTCATCGGCGGAACAACATCGGAGCAGACTAACGATAACATAATCAGTTTCATAAACATTTTAATATTATATGACGCTCTTCTCGCGGAAGGAATATATCATCTGCACGCCTCCTGCTTTAAGACCAACTACGTTCATGTCAAGTTGTATATTCATTAAATATTTGTTCCCACTGTCTGAAATATATAACATTGTTATATCTGATTATTATGTAATCACGTGATTGGAGGAAGTTTTTTCATTTTACGCCACAGTAAAAAATATTCCAATATTCTGGACCAGACAATCCAGTGATCAACATCATGATGAACATCGATCAACGCAATTGGGAACCGATGACATGTGTCAAACAAGTCAGCGAACCTGACCACCCGATCCCGTTTAGTCGCCTGTTGCGACAAGCATGGGTTGCTGAGGACGAATTCTAACCCGGATCTTCACGTGTGTGATCGCAAAAGATGAGATAATAAATAATACAATTCTTTATTAATTTCAGTTTCGCATTCAGTGATTGCATTGAAGTGTTTTTGCATCAAACTAACGTAGCAATCATGTTGCACCTACCTGGACACGTCTGTGTGTTACAATCTCCAAAATCGTCGTCGCCCCCGTCACAGTCCCTGCCCCCATTCTGAGGTTGTGGATTGTCACAGCGCCGTGTACGATTTCTGACCCCTCCATCACATTCTTCACTGCATCTGCTCCAGTTGCCCCAGCTTCCCCATCCACCGTGCACTGCACAACAAAAGAAATATGTCCATATACATGTGTGAATGCGTCTTCGTTACCTTTCGTGTACAACAGCAAGAAGACCCATCGACCATCTTCCTTGCACTGTGGTACACCTAATTCGACAATCGATCTGGTATCGTACTGTTAACGTTATTGTAATGCTACCGGCAGAACAGGACATGCTTGCTCTTTTTGCGAACACCTGATGTCATCATTTTCACTGGTCATTGATAGTCAAGACTATGTATTCTTACAGCGCTTATATCCAATCGTCAGAAGACTGCTCAAAAGCGCTGCTGAGCTCCGTATGCAATGCTGAACAAATGAGTCTTTAATCTGGATTTGAATGTGCTGAACGTCTCTACTGGTCGAAGAGAGAGGGGTAATTTGTTCCACAAAGTTGGGCCGACAAACTGAAAAGACCTATCACCAAATGTCTCGGTCCGGCTGACCACAGTCTGGCACAGTCTGATGACGTTATATATTTAATGTATGTTTTGTTCATCACGCCAGTTAATGCAACTGCAAGGGCTTCCAGACAGGCTGGTAGAAAACAGCTATCTGTATTTGGCAAGCAATAATTCTTACCAAGAGCGTCGTCACAGTAGTCGCCCGTATATTCCGACGTACACAAACACGTGTAGCTCTCGACGCCGTCCACGCATGTACCGTTGTTTGCGCACACATTACCGCCACAATCGTCGATGTTGACGTCACAGTTCGATCCGGTGAAGCCACCGCTACACGTGCACCTATACCCTCCTAGCTGATCCGTACAGTCGCCATGGAAACAGGGATCAGAGCTGCAGGCGTCAGTGTCTGAAGAGCAGATTTTTACAATCTCCTGTTGAGCATTAGGTCTTATGTTTGCCTTTAAATGTAAGCATTTGTATGACTTAGTACTTAAAGGAGGCAATCAATAGCTTACAAGACGTGGCGGATCTGGTGTAACACGTGAACGATATACTCACCACAGAAACCCTTTTTGAAGTTACCACTACAAGCTTTTCTGAACAACTACATATTGGCACACCCTTGACCTAAAAATATCAGAATAATGAGATCCATCGGTTTGGGATTAAGAATTGAATGTAGGAAAAAGCTTTCAATCTTTTTAATGTAAATCTTTACTTCTGAAAAAAACCCAGCTTACCATCACACTCGCTTGGCATCTGTACGAAACTGTCTACTAAATCAGCTTTGGCAAAGGTCTGCCACGAAAACAAGTCTCCGTGATCATCGCTGAAACATCTTCGAGACATAGAGGCGTGAATACCGGACCATATGTTCACCTGTGAGATGATTCCGGCGAACCCTTCCCCTGCAAATGAACGTATATTCCCAACGTATTTGAAATATCCTTACGGAGTCATTTTTTGACGCCATGAGTTTGTGTATACCGGGACTGTGATTCACTACAACAAGTGACAAACGTTTCAAACAAAGTTTCAGTTCTGTGATTATATTTGATTGAATATTTCATAGTGAATGAGAGTTTAGTTTTACGTCGCTTTCAGCAATGTTTCAGCAATATCATGGCGGGGTACACCAGAAACGGGCTTCATTCATTGGACCCATGTGTCGAACCCATACGAACCCGGGTCTGTTGCTCGACGAGCGAACGCTTTAACTATTAGGCTACCCCAGTGCCCCCTTGTAATCAGAGTGTGTGAGTGAGTTATTATTTAATGTCACATCGGCAATGTTTCAGCCATATTGTGACGAAAACAATTTCGACGTTGATAAAGAATATACGAGCGTATGTATTTGATAAAAAATTGTCGTCAAACGACAGTAAAACGCCTATTGCAGTTAAATCAAAACTAGTATGTTACGTTCAAACAAATACTATTTTTGGACAATTAAATCTAAAATAACTGGCTATAGATCTCCAACAGCTGATGGTAGATCACCACACTAGGGACCATGGGGACGTACAGTACTTTTGCTTCCTGCATATACCCTAGCTGGATTACTTATTTTGTATTATAGGATATTTATATAGCGCACATATCCAGGCAACTAGTGCTTGCTCAAGGCGCTGATATATCTTCCCTCGATCATTGGATGTCAATATCAATGGCACATCGTATTATCAATCTCAACTCCCTGGGGAGTATACAACTCTTGCAGCCACTAGGCGCACCGAGTTATTGTGGCTTTCTAATCCTAGCGAGGTGCCCATTCACAGCTGGATGAACTGGGACACATAGTCACAGTACTTTGTCCAAGTCCACTGCACTCTGCTGTACCCGCAACTAGGTGTTTGCACGTTACATCACCCCTTCAGTTGTTGGCAATTTGGACAATTACAGCCATTAATTTAAATGAACATATGTTCTATGATTAAAAATAAGGTGATATTACATATGCTTTTAAAGACGTGGTCTTACATGCCCTGTCAGAGGGACCCTTGTAATCAGAAAGAGAGGAGTTGAGTTGAGTGACGTCACATCAGCATTTTTCCAGCATAGTTTGCATTAGTAAATATTGTAAGTACATACTCGGAATGAGTTTTATTTCAAAGACATTTATTGATTACATTGTCATTCAAAAGCAGAAAAAGTCATAGCATCAAATTTAAAAGCAGGCGGATTGTTACATTTCATAGTTACAATTTATGGTTGTTACATTTCACAGTTACAATTTATGATACAGATCAACTTCCCTCAGGTAGTTCAGTATCAGATGGGCGCTCACGCGTGAGAACAGATCTTTTAGGTTTGTTGCATCATAATGTGAGTCCCTTTGCAGGCGATAAGTCCACGCATTCAAGCAGGATATGCTTGACGGTGAACACCTCATCGCAAGAGACACACATGGGGGTCCATCTCCATCCGTTTTCAGCAGATAGTCATGTGTAAATCGATCAGGCCAATACGACATCGTCGTAAAATTACCTCATCGCGTCTTGACTGACAACCCAAGTAGGTATAACCGATTGTTGGCTTCAATTCATGGAGTTTGTTTCTTCCTACTTGAGTGTCCCACCTTTTGCATCAGGTCCCGAGTATAGCTTTGATAGTGGGTTTGAAGTCACTGTATGGGATTAGCAGTGGAGATAGGGCTTTTCGAGAGCTGCTTTTGCTGCAGCATCGGCCTTAGTGTTACCTGCTATGCCGACGTGACCCGGCAACCAGCAGAGGATGATGTCATATTGGCCAGTAGAAAGGTCGTTGTACAGTTCTAATATGTCCAGGATGATTGGGTGACTTGAAGTCACATTTAGAAGTGCTTGAAGGCAGGATAATGAATCTGTAAATACGATGAAGTTTTGGACTGATTTTGCTGTTGAATGTAGGTCAAAGCTGAGAAGATAGCTTTGGCTTCAGCGGTGAAAATGGAACTGTTGTCGGGGATCCTAGAGGAGACAGTCTTGGCTCCAATGACTGTAGCGCTGGCAACTTGGCCATCGTCCTTGATCCGTCTGTGAAAATGGATCTGTGAGTGTTATACTTAGAACGTAACTGGTTGTATTCCTGTTGGAACACCAGGGATTTGTTTCCGACTTTTGAGTTTGGTGAGGGTAAGATCGACCTGTGGTTTCACCCATTTGCCATGGTGGTGAGGATAGAAGTCGGTATGGTGCAATGATGTCGAGATCAATTTTAGCTGCAGTTATGTGTGGTTTGATCCTGATTCCAAGTGGTGGAACCAGGCTTGGCAGTTTAGGAAATAAGTTTTCATAGAGAGGGTTGAAAACACAATTGTATGCTGGATTGACTCCATTTGAACGTAATTTAGTGATATACTGCAGTGAGAGTTTAATGCGGCGTTGTTCAAGGAAGGTTCATTGGCCTCTGCATATAGACTGTCTACCGGAGAGGTCCTAAAAGCTCCCAGGCAGAGCCTCAGTCCTTGGTGGTGGATAGAGTCTAATTTTTCTAAATTAGCTTTTGCAGGCTCCACCGTAGACAATGGAGCCATAATCTAGTTTACTGCGAACTAATGATCTGTACAAGTGAAGGAGGGTGGTCTGATCCCTCCCCACTCTGTATTTGAAACTACTTTTAGCAAGTCTAGAGCCTTCAAGCACTTTGTTTTCAAATATTTTATGTGTGGTAAGAATGTCAGGTGGCGGTCGAATATGAGTCCAAGGAATTTGGCCTCTTCTACTACCTTGATGGGAGTACCATCTAAAGTTAGGTCTGATCCTTGTGTGGTTTGTATTTACGACAAAAGTGAATACAATTTGTTTTGGATTTTGAAAACTTAAAACCATTTTCATTGGCCCATTTTGGATTTTGTTAAGGCAGAGTTGTAGCTGCCTTTCTATTGCATGCATGTTCTTACCACGACATGAGATATTGAAGTCATCCACGAAAAGGGACCCATCAACGCAACTGTTCAGGACGTTAGTGAGGCTGTTAATTTTGATGCTAAAAGTGTGACAGACAGGATGCTGCCTTGGGGACGCCCTGATCTTGGTGGAAATAGTCAGACAGTGTGGAACCCACCCGAACTTGAAATTGTCTGTTATTTAAAACCGAGATATGAATTGGGGTAATCTACCCCTCAATCCAAACTCGTGTAAATCTTTTAGGATACCATGTTTCCATGTTGTATCATATGCTTTTTTCTAAGTCGAAAAAGATAGATACTGCATGTTGTTTGTTGACAATGGAGTTTTTGATAAATGATTCCAGACGCACCAGATGGTCAATGGTACTTCGGTTTTTTCGGAAACCACATTGGAGGTCACTGAGGAGGTTATTGGTCTCCAGGTACCAGATTAATCGATTGTTGACCATGCGCTCCATGGTTTTGCAAACGCAGCTAGTTAGTGATATAGGACGGTAGTTTGAGGGATCAGTATGATCGCGACCGGGTTTTGCTATAGGGATGATGATGGCATTGTGCCACGAAGGGGGGAAGTGTCCGGATGTCCAAGTGTCATCAAATATATTTAGGAGTGTTTCCAAGCCTATGTCAGGGAGGTGTTTCAGAAGCTGATAATGGATTTCATCAGCTCCTGCCGCAGTGTCGTGAGCCTGTCCTAGGGCAGTACGTAATTCATGGAGGGAAAACGTTTCGTTGTAATCCTCCCCATTATCAGAGTGAAAATTGACTGGTTTCTTTTCTTGTTGGGTTTGATATTTCTGGAACTGAGGGTTATAATTTGATGAGGAGGAGTGGTTTGCCAAAGTTTCGCCGAGTTTGTTTGCAATTTCTGATTTATTTGTTAGAAGGGAGTCACCATCTTTCAGGTGGTGGACTCCTGATTTTGACCCTTTGCCCTTGATCTTTTGAATCATGTTCCACACCTTGGACATGGGTGTGCGGGAGTTGATTTTTGACACATATTTCCTCCATGAGCGGCGTTTAGTTTGTTTGAAGGTACGTTTTGCCCTGGCATTTGTCATTTTAACAGCATTCAGGTTATGCACTGTAGGATGTTGTCGGAAATATTTTTCCGCCTTCTTCCTATTTTTCCTAGCTTGTTTGCAGTTTGTATCAAACCATGGTTTGCGTATGTGCGGGTTTGCAGAGGACTTAGGAATAGTTTTGTCTCCGATGGCATTTAGGGCGTCTGAAAATAGTTCCATGGGGTCAGGAACATTTCTGAAGTTGTCCGGCTTAAGTTTTTCTGAACATAGGGTTTGGAATAAAGGCCAGTTGGCCTTAGTAAAATTCCATCTTGTTAGAAGAAAGAGAGGATACAACAAATAATATAATTGTACCCAGAGGCCACCCCACCGCTCCGAATATTTCAGACGATCATGCTCAGTTGCTCGTACATACCTCCAGCAGTAACCACCAGAGATCCGTTGATTGGCAGCATGCCTGTATGCCCAGTTGTCTTTCCAGATACACCGTCCGTGTACGTTTCAACATCGCCATGTGTGACGGTGACAATGTGCTGGTGCCACATCGTATCATGCAGGAAGACAGCGGACGTAATGGTAACACTTCAATATGCAAATAAATTGAAGTTGAATGTACGAAAAAATTCATATTGAGGAACATTAAATACAAAATGTCTTTAAATATAAATTGTATCTCTTAATTAACAGGACGAGTATGTACCCTTGAATCCTGGTTCTGAGACGGTTGCTTTCCATGTGTACTGACATCAACTCTGTGCCATCTGATGTGACTGTGATGACATAGCCTTCATCACTTTGTATCTTCAACCACAGCCCCAGTGTGACATTAGGCAGGTCCAGTTGACCCCCAACAGCTGTCTGTGCAGTAGCAGTCGTGTTGTCGCTCGGAATAAACTCAACATCAAACTCTAAACAGAAACACAGTTATACGAATGTATCGGTTCATCCTTGAAACGCGATCATTTCAAATGTTTCATCTTATGGGTAAACAACTCATAAATGTCATATCCCATAATGAAAGACACAAATAGCGTTTCTTTATCAAAATCAGTAACGACAACGTGTGAAGAATTGATTCAGAAAACTAAAGCTTAATTTGTTTTTACCATGGCATTTGTCAATTGACTTTGCTTCTTGGGTTAGTGTAGTCTTTCCCCCTGGGCATTTCAGACAAGACCTGGTTCCCCAGCTGTCCTGGTACTGGCCGATATCACATGGACTGCATGGCACCACGCCAGTCGCAGAGAACATGCCTGGCTTACACATGGCTGGCAACATAGAAGAGAATTGTAAACTCTACTCGACAATGGTTTCAACATAAAAGAGAATTGTAAACTCTGCTGGACAATGGTTTCAACATAGAAGAGAATTGTAAACTCTGCTGGACAATGGTTTCAACATAGAAGAGAATTGTAAATTCTACTGGACAATGGAAGAGAATTATAAACTCTGCTGGGCAATGGTTTCAACACAGAAGACAAATGAAAACTCTACAGGACAATGGAATTATAAACTCTTCTGGGCAATGGTTTCAACACAGAAGACAATTGAAAACTCTACAGGACAATGGTTTCAACACAGAAGAGAATTGAAAACTCTGCTGGACAATGGATTCAACGTAGAAGAGAACTGTAAACTCTGCTGGACAATGGTTTCAACATAGAGGATTTTTGTAAACATCTGCTGGTCAATGGCTTTCAAAATTGAAACGAATTGTCAACTCTGCTGGTCAATAGCAAGCAAAATAGAGGAGAGTTGTAAATATATTCATTGAAACGAATAAGGGAACACCTGAAAGTACAAGTGTTCCTATATTTTCTTCCAGGTTTACTTTCAGGTGTTATTCGTTCCCATGAGTATATCTGTCAGTGGCTGCTTGCAAATTCGAACATTGTCTTGAAGATCACAGTGTGTGATTATGTGTCTTAGCTCGTTGTTATGCTTATCTAAGGTAAGAATGTGTCTACCTTCACACTGGACTCTAGACGATGCTCCTGTTTCAACTGAGGTAGTGTGGGCTGGACAAGGAGTGCAACTGGTGTGTCCAGAACTGTCTGTATATTGACCTACTGGACATTGGGTACATTCACCCGTATCAGCATTGTAGTAACTGCCTCGGACACAGCCCACTGGAAACAAAGCAATGCAAAAACATAGCATAAGCTACTGTAGAAACGACTTATGCAATCCGCACGCAGATAGTTGGAACTGACACCATATTTGACAATCTGGTTAGGTACCTTTGACGAAATGTATATTCTATACCCACAAGTAAATCTTAGTAAACCAGGGTCTGGTAGAATAATACCTTCACAAGGACTTACCGCTGCCGTAGTGCTTGGGTTGTCTTGTGGAACCGTACCCATGCCTTTATTAGGCTTAACAATGCTTAGATGACAAGAACAATCCTTAACAAATGTTACAACTACTTTAATGTATGTTTAAATGGACATACCATCACGTACATTTGCCTCAGGATATACTCCCATTTGCATAATATCTTGCTAAATTTACAACCTTGAACGGCTTTTGTAAAGCTGAACTTTTAACCTAGTGTTAAGGCAAGACAATCACATTGATCATAATATAGCCCTAAGTAGCATTGACAATGACATACTCTTATTGAACGTAACGACATGCTGGACCTAACACTTACCGCAACTATATGTTCTGTATGTAGGGAATGTACCCAGCGGACAATCTAGGCTGAGCTGACCACTCTTGACCCCAGCTTCATGAACTGATGTAATGGAGGCGGGTATGAATGTGGACGAGTTGCTGTGTATATCGGCTTCAATAACTCGTACTAGATGCTGCATGTTTGTGTTGATGCCTTCAAATTGACCCTCTGCCGAACGTGATGGGTCCAACGGCGATACGAGGCTTGTCTTTAAACGGTATTCCATTCCATGGGTAGCGTTCACGCTGCGCTTTACTGTTATAGGACCACATGAAACCTGGGGATTGGGAATCAGTTTATTGCACTACTTAAAGTAAAATCAATTTTAAAAGTAATTTCAAAGCATATTTTGACGATTGACTATTTTCTTTTGTAATTGTTGATGGTATGTGTAAAATAGAACTGTGAATTACAATTTGATAACTTGCAATAACGTAGAGTTTAGATACTGTCTACTGACATCATACGCCACTCTGAATTCAAAATATCACTATTCATAACATATCACAAAATATAACATCACTGATACAATATAAACGGTCTAACGTTATTTCATGATTAACCTCGTGATAGTCAGTGGCCATCTAATGCTGGAAAATATCAAATCTATATATACAAGGAGTTGACAGTTAACTAAGAAAACAGGCTGAAGACACAGTCCGTCTCCAACCACATGCCATCACACAAATAACTTGAATGTTTGGTACGGAACTAAAGCCATCAAGGCAACGGGAAAAACTGACGGTATCGGAGTTATCTAGAGAACACTGATAGGGCCAGTAAGTGATTAACAGCACTTCGCGAGACCTTAGTACTTCCGGTGAAAAACAACGTTTCATACTTTCGAATGGTCTCATGGCTGACAAATAATTCTTGCAGGAATAACAAATGTCCGATCTAACCATCCCCAAATTAGCAAACTATTAAGACTGCCAACAGCTGTGACGACCAAGCACGGTTGTACACTCGGTCCGATCTAGTAAAGCCATATTTGTAAAGTGCAATTTGGAACCAGAACTGGTTCTTGAATATACGCTTGTCACCGGAAATCTGGTACCGAAAGTAAGTTTGGCCCCGTCTAGCATATCGCAAGTTGGCGAGCGCAAACGGAGACGGGAACCAGTGTTGTACCGCGAGACTTACAGGCCCTACAACCTAAGAAATGTACGGACTCAGTCACATGTGCGAACAACAGAAAGACTCTTTTTCTTCACGAAGTATTATATGATCATGTACAAACCTGCACATCCGCTACTCGACAATCAGATTTATCACACGCTTCCTTTGTAGGGGCCCGCTCTCAAAGCATTTACGAAATTGTGTCTGATCGCATCCATTGTCGCTGGGTTTGGACATTCTCCGTTAAAGTAGCAATATATGTTCATCATCATTTCCGTCGACCCAGCGCGCATGACCTCTTGCAAAAAGAATGTAGCAGTTGGAAAATACTACAAGAAATATGTTAACACTGAACAACAACAAAAATACCAGAATCTTTCCACCGCATTTCATTTTACTGAACCGTAATTGAAAGAAATAATATGTTCTAGAAAATGCTTCCAAGAAATAATTTGGTCCCAGGTTTTACTTTTGAGGCTGTGGGAGGCATGTTCAGTTATGGGTGAATTGATTTAAGACCATTTCAGTTATATCACAGCATATCACCCTGATGGTGGAGGGGAGTGACCCATGTGTTTGAACTGTTGAGTTTTGGGAATCGAAACCAGGCCTTCGGTGTGATTAGCGAACCTCTAGGCTACCCCACCGCCCCAGGATGATTAAGAAACAGTTTTATACTTGCGCAGTCAGGAATGCCGCCGTCAAAGTTCCACGTCCCCGATCGCCCACAGACAAAGAGCTTCTTGTAGGGAAATCTTGGTGAGATATCCGTCCCGTTCATACACTGCATCTGGCAGTAGTTTCCACCCTCCCACAGGTCACACGCCAGGGCACCGTTACCGGGTGGGGTCAGGAGGGGACAGGTTCGATTTACTTCAGAAAGACACCACAGATGGAAGACTGTTACTGACGTACCTCAGGTCAATTTACATGCAAACAACTATGCTCATAGTTTTGTAGTATGAGTAAGATGTAATCATAAGTACAACTACATCCACACGAATATTGTCGATGAAACAGGATCAGCAACGGGCTGATATATCCTGTTATAATTCAGGTGTAAAGTGGAAATAATGTCGCCATGTTTTGATGTCAGTATCATACATCAGTTAGAATGATGATAACATATGTTTTATCGTTGTTATCATCGTCTAGAGCTGAGGCAAAATTACATCATATTGAAATATACTCATATTGTCTCATCTAAATCTGTATGTCACAAATTTAAAGTGAGTATCCCAAATAAACACTCACAGTGGCAGACTGGTTGACTGTTTGTCCACGTAACATACTTTGCGCCACTCTCTGGTTTCTCGCACCTTGTGTTATCTGGTCCCCCGAGTAGACTGTACCCAGTCTGACAGGCGAAGTTACACCGTGCGCCGTATCCGTGACCACTTGGACAGATCACTCGCATGTAAGGATGAGCGTGTATTGCTGGGCACTTCAGCTCTGAACATTTTAACCAAATAATCAAAATAAATATGATCTGTTTTGATATCGAAAAATATTTGACGTTGATGTCATATTTATAAGAATATCTTCAATTTGGAAAGTCATCCCGATATCAAATATAACAAATCAAATATATACATATCTGTTATGGATATCGCTTGTGAAACCTATTCTGTGTCTTACCTCGTATAACGACCTTGAAGCTACACGGGTGTCCCTTGTTGCCATTAGCGTCTGTTGCCGTGTACAGAACAGAGTATACACCTGCTGCCTCGAACGCATTGTTTGACAGTTTGCTTACTGGGGTCACTGTGACCTTGTCACTGTTATCAGTTGCGGTTGGTTCCTTCCAGTCAACGAAGCCGCGGCTTGACCCTTGCTCAGTGAAGAACACTTGGTAGCTGGGGCAGACTGTGAATCTGGGCGGTTCTGTGTCTGTGGGCAGACCTTTTTATAAAGCATCATGTAACTCCCATGCCATATTATCACTAAAACATGTGAGGTGACGTTTGTTTCACGTAACATTGAGTGCAGAGTCAGATTTGATACGTGGTTACGTTTGTTTGTTGTTTGACGCCGCACTCAGCAATATTCCAGCTATATGACGGCGGTCTATAAATACTCGAGTCTGGGCCAGACAATCCAATGATCAACAACATGAGCATCGATCTAGACAATTGTGATACGATGATATCTGTCAAACAAGTCAGCGAGCCTGACGCCAAATCCCGCTAGATGCCTATTACAAGCATGGGTTGGTGAAGACCAATTCTAACCCGGATCTTCACGTGTTCTGTGATTACGTGTTTGTGTTTCATGTAAGGTAAGTATTGTATTCCTGAAACCTTTAATCACGATGAGATGTAATTGTGAATCTATATGAATCTATTTTATTATTATTGTCTGCTTTTGCACGTAAGTGTATGACAGAGTGTTAATAGTATAAGCCTCTCTTTACCAATGCACACTGGATTTGTTCCGCGCCAGGTTTTCTGAGCACTGCACACTCTCAGTCGGGTCATGCCTGGCTTGACGTCATATCCGGGTAGACACTCATATGTACACTTGCTTTGGAAGAACATCTGATCAGAACAACTGATCTTAACATTTCCCACAGGTTCTAAAGTTGTACATTTTACTCCTGAAAAGATAAAAACGATGGTGTAATGCCAGTTGTACCCCCAAAAAATCATCATTTTCACATACTAATCATAGTATCCCTCTCTGGTTTCTATGGACTAATGCTAAGTCTCTGAATATATATTATTTTGAAAGAAACTCCAATCAAATTGAAAAGGACCCCCAGTAACCTCTGACATTCAACTTCAAATCTAAACTTGCTTCACTTAGGATTTCTGCAGAAAAGGTGTTGTAAAGAAAGGGCTGCAGAATGGAAAATAATGTGGTTCATGGACTGTGAGACACACTATGGTTTCTATTTCATCCTACTTTCACAAGTTGGTTCCGGAGCCGACCATCTGCCGCTGTCCCCTTGTGGTTCGCAAGTCCGGACACTGCTCCCGTGGATCTCATAGCCGCTGTAACACCCGTATATACACCGTGTACCCTGAACAAAGTCAGCGCTGGGGTGACACACGTAGTACCCGTTGGGGAACACCTTGCTTGGACCACTGCTGCATCGAATCACTGAGAAAGTGAAATACAGGACCTGTTAATGATCCATATTGTTAGGCTCTGTACACTTTTTTACAGTATAGACGTGAGCTTGAGTAATGAAGTATTGGAGAAATGACAACCATTTTATAGCTGACGTACCAGTAAGAAGTATGTCTCAACATAGTAAGAAATGTGTCCCCCCAAAATAATAGAAATGTGTCCAATAAAAACCACAAGAAGTGTGTCCAAAAAGTAAGAAATAATGTGTCCAAAACAATAAGAAATGTATTCCACAAAGTAAGAAATGTGTCTAAATAGTAGCAATGTGTCCAGTAAAGTAAGAAATGTGTAAAATAAATAGGAAATGTGTAAAAAGAAATCAGAAATGTGTAAATAAAAGTCAGAAATGTGGCCAGAACTACTAACCATGTACGTGGACGATGAATGACATTCGGTTTTCATTTCCTGATCTGTCCTTGGCATAGTAGTTTACTGGTGTTGGGCCTTCTACGAACGTGTACCCTGGACCAGGACCGTAGCGGTGAACGCTGTTGACAACACCACAGATGGTCTATTCATATGTTATGTTTACAAGTGTCGCATGTCAAGAGTACTTCCCTTATGTCTCCACTGCTTGCATTTCGATGAACCTACTCTCACCCACTGATCCATTCTCGTGGCTCTCGCAATCACAAATTAGCCGCCCTTGATTTCCATTTGCTAATTTGATTGGGTCTAACATACCAATCAGAATGCGAGTTACAAACTTGAAATTCAACATTGAAAATCACGACCAGGACAGCCATCACAAATGCTTTTGTTGTAAAAGATGTGCTAATAAATACTGCCTGCGTTGTTTATTTCTAAGTGATAAGGGTTACCTCCCTTATCCTTTCCCTGGTTTGATTGGCCGATTATCAAGGGTAGGTAATTTGCTATGGTAGAACCAGGGAATGGATCCATGGGTTAGTGTAAGCTTACCAAATACGAGCTCTGGAGCTACAGAGAATGGGCAGGACTCCTAAAATTACTTGAGGCGGACAATCAAAACTGGCTATTCTAAACCAGGGCTCCAGATAAAGGCCGTATCGGCGTATGTACTGAAAAAGTATGCACGATACGGTAGAGAAATGAATGAGTCCAATTAACCATTTCAGACAAAGACCTACGTTTCAGCCGATCCGAATTTTCTCGTGTGAAAGTGAACAGAGACCATACAAACAACACTGAATTCCAATTCCTTGTTTCATAATGGTATTTACAAATCAATTTTAATTTTAAAGTTTAAAAATATCGTATTTCTATATTTTATGTCGAGGTTTAGGGAGCATGTCGTTAACTAGGATGTTACAGACTGCCCCTGTTAGAAGAGGTTGATTCACAATTCATCTGGCTCACTGGTTACTCCCGTTAAGTGTTTTTTGCGCTAATTAAACGTGTTTTTGTGACGTACAATGTGATTGATGTAATATCAAGTCCGTACTAGACGGCCAAAGTTTTCTAGCGGCTCTGCCTCGTTTTGAGATTTCCACGATTTCCAGATTTCCGTCTGTCAGAGCACGCTGTACGACAGAGCACGCAGCACGTCGTGTTTGCAAGGATTAGAAAGAGCGTAGTGTTGCAATATACAAGTGATTAGATGTATCAAATAATACTGATAAATATGTTGTAGCTATGTTGTGGTGCACATATGAAACGAAACACAAGATTACTGATACGCCATTAAATTCCATTCAGTACTCTAAATGTACTCTTGATTTTGTTCCAGTTCTCCTATATTGAAAAAATAAGGAGTACGTACTTCTGATGTGGCAAAATTATCTGGAGCCCTGTTTAAACTTAACAGCACATGTCATTATGTTTATAATTCAACATCTCCACCAATTCTGATGACTCAGCATTCTATTACCATGACAACAGGAACCTACCTGACAGATCCATCCCGGTTATCCTGGGCTGTCGGCTCCACCCATGTGACTCCTCGTTTGCTGGTCTGTATTGGGTCAGCCTTTACGTAGAGATCAGGTAATACTGAACTAAAACGTGGCTTTTCGTTATCTACAATCATAACATATATTGAATTACCTGTGGCTCATGATAGTACTGCTTCTTCTATACACGACTTACATTCACAAACTCTTCACGATAATATGTCAGCTAAAGATCATCATAAATCGACCTGTCGGTATTACAAATTGAAAGACAATAAGAAAATATATGTCGTTGTGTTTAAGGTTACGGATGAATCAGTCCTGTTCACATTACTGGAGATTACTCCAAGGGAACTCTATTTGGAGTGATGAATCTAATCCACAATGTATTATAATTTAGTGGGCACATGTTACCTCTTGGTCGATGGTGGCAAAATATCATGCATCCAATTGCTACCGCTACGAATATTCCAAGAAAGCGTTTCTCTCTCTGCGCGTTTTCCTTCTGCAAAAATGTGCTTGTCACACCTACACAACGATAAAAGACTTTAGAAAATGTACAGTATGGTGAGGCATCTACACCGGGAGAAAAATCAGGAACTGCCAAACTGGCGTAAAGATAATTTTTCAGTTATACTCACATCATGATCTAAACCAGTGATTGTTCCACTAAACAAACAGTCAAGTTTCAAATATACTCAGGTGTATTACCGATATTAGAAACCTATACCTTTGACTTCTTAGCGGTATTTGAACCAATAAGTTCCTTTGTAACGAACAAGTCTGGAGGCTCATGATCATGCAGGTACTGATGTCTACCGTGCATTGTGTTCCTGATTAAAAACACTTTGCTAACAATCTCGCACATATAAACAATGTATATGCTCAACTAATCAGTTCCCCTTACTCAAATAAAACAAAGTTAACGTTGTATGGTCTATGAATTGTAAGCTATGTAATCATGTGTTGGCTTCTATATATCTGACTATTTCGTTAACGGATATTTAATCTTAACCCTTTGGTTCTTACCTCTCTGACATGCTATGTCCCATTTTCCATCCACACAGGTCGCAGTTCCTGGTTCTCCGGAAGTCTGGCAAACTACATCACACTGAGTGCCTGGCTCCAGTATCTGTGTCTTGTTGTGAGATAACACGACAGTACCGTTGTTTAAGTTGCAAGACTCCAAGGGAGGATTCACGTCAGGGTGCCACGGGCATGACTGAAACAAAGTCGGCTACCAAATCACCCCATCTCCTTCGACAATCAGATATCTCACAAGATGTATGGAAGCTTGTGTTATACACGAAGCAAACATCAGGCACGGTGTTCAGTTATAAATGATGTGTAATCGCACTCAAGAGTGTTTCTCAAACTGAACGCTGATGACAATAAGGAGGAACAATATTACCTGTTTCCAGATTTTGCTGTATTCTGTAGTATGGGATGCCCGATAATTAAAGGAATACTAACACATAATCTTTATCGACATTGTAAAATTCAAAAGTCCTCCGCTCTCTCTTTCTACGTCATTATTACAGATGTGACACGTCACTGTAGAATACCATAATATCATCATCCTATGTATGACTTAAAATGCCGCCATGACAACTGGAAATGGACCATCTAGCAGATATTCAAGCTTAAAATGTCTTAAATGCTGTGTCAATTTTAACAGTATTAACTCTCTTAATCTTAACTTTGATCAAATACATCTACCTGTAGTATGACTATTTACAAATTTACGAGCATTAGCTGTAGTTAAAATGTACGTATTCATGATTGTACATAAAGAGCAGACGTTTATTTATTTTTATCTTACCTTGAAGTTTAGAATGTCTCTCTGCGCGGCTCTTGAGAGCACAAATACCATCAACAGAGGATAAACTTTGTTAAACATCTCTGTTATCGGCCTCGAAACGTTACTGTGTGACACAAGTGCTGTTGAATCTTATTTCCTATCTTGTAGTGTTACTTGATTGGATGTCTCAAGCCGTCAGTCATTGTGCACAGAAGCCAGTAGAGGTGAGTTGGCAGCGTTTCAAATGATTCGTTATGGTCACATGTTTACCAAGCTATTCTCAGAGACGGAACCTGACTGTTCTTAGCATAAACAATCAAACACTCACTCATAGAAACCTTGTATTATCGTGCAATACGAACAGTTAAAATTTGCAGTAATGCGGAATAACTTCCAAATATCATGTCCCTGCTCCTCTTTTTGTTCTATCGCAAACTGCGATTTTAAATTTGTTTAAATAGCGTCCCTTAAGTGAGTCTGGTTAAACACCGCTTTGGACATTGTCTCATTTCTAACACAAGGTGTTTGCTGTGGGAGAAAAGCTCGAAGCTTGCTTAGGTCTACTCTTATCACTTTAAGCGGAATGCCCTACAGCTGGCCAACCTGGACATATAATCAGGAATTCGAACCAGAAAATCATATTTTTTTTAATTCCAAGGGACGAAAGTATAGGCTTGGTGTGGGTCATTCATGAATTCATTGACTCACGTCAGTGCTTATAAAGGTGGTAAGAAAAGAGAGGACATTTTACCTATCGTGACGCATTGGCAGCGATATAAGCATCCTTGGCCAGATATAGGACCTGTGACATTACTTTGCATAACATTCAAGCAATATCCGTTATAACACTGGCAATCAAAGGAGTAGTATTACCATGTAAATACGTGTTTCCTTCATTTGAATGTACAGTTGAATCACAGATTTTCGCCCTATAAATCAAAACATAATTCTTGATTATGGTACACTGATACATGACTGACGTCTCAACACAATTCACGTGCTTTCCAAACATAAAAGAAGGCTTTGCAAATGCGCATGTCCAGACTTACAAACAACAAAGAACACAGCGGCTTGTGTTGAATTTGTTTTTGAATTGAAAAAAACTTGATTTAAGGAGAGATAATAACGTCAAACATAATACATGTTGTAATTAATTTAGAATAGTTCATTCTTTCATGACATTTAAAGAACCGCAGACAGTTTTCGAGACTTACGCCTGATAAACAAGGATTAGATAATCTATTAATTCTCTCCGGCATTGATAGGTAGATATAGCACTTACCAAACAAATGCACAATGGGTCGCACAGACCTATGTATCTGATGATTAATGTGTCACTCCGTGTACCAGGAAGTACTTGCGAAGGGACAAGTTGACTGGTTATCGATTTTCTCTCTCGGGAAGGTTTTGATCTCTAACAGTAAAATATATTCCCCCCCTCCTCTCACTCATCAGTTTCGAAAATAAGCCATACTCCATGGCATTGCACTTATTTACTATTAGAACCTAAATAATAAACTTTGCGCAATAGCAAGGCATAATAACAGAAGTATGGAAAAGCAACGCACAGATGAATAAGTAAAGCTACTAGGAAGTAGGAAGTGGTTATATTCCGAAATGGCAAGCTGATATTACCCATATGGCCACGGAAGTTGCACATAAACCAGGGGCGGATCCAGGATTTTAGAGAAGTGTGCGTGCGTGCGTGCGCGACCGCACCCAACTGATTACCAACTAAAGAGGCGCAAAGGAGATATCTCACAAAACGTATTTAACCGTATCACGATATAGCATCAAGATATATGTACTTCATACTGGTTGTAAAGGGGGATGATTTAGAAAGCGTTTTGGAGAGTATCTTTGTTTTCATTCTGTTTCATGATAATTCCTTCTAGATGTCGCTTTAGCTGTGGAACATTGTTGTATGAATCGAAATGTATCTTTGATTCATCCGAACACAACATTTGCACAACGACCGCAGGTAAAGCGCAGCCGCTCTTGATACCGACGACCTCTTGCAGCGTTGTCAAGTTCCAGTCTTGAGATATCGTCTGTCCACTTGTTCTAACACCTTTAGGTTTATGAAGCTGACCACTGTTTCCTAACGCAGTCTTTCTGATGAAAAGGTCCTGTGCGCTAGTTGTCGCCCTTGGTAGACTAGATCAGCACCATGATCTTGCTTCATACTCGCGTTTTCATTTAATTTGCATTTTTGATGCGTTTTCCTCTTGAGCAATGTCTGCATGCTTGCATGAAATCGCTATGGTATTCACGTGACTCAGCCTACATGCCATTCCCGTGTGTATGGCACGACAAGAACATGACAAGAAATCACCAATTCACAATAATTATTACCAATAATACGTGTGTCAAGTTTATAATTTTCTTGGGTATAATTTGTTCACATGTACATGCGGATGGCTACTGTTAATTGTGTATGTTGTATATTTTTTTTCGTAAGCTGGAGACCATGATTTTGGAACTGGTTGATTCGATCCGTTGGTCTGATTCTAATCTGTGGTGGCATATCTTAAATCATGGTTTAATTCGAATGTTGCCTCTCCTGATGTTACGTGCTTATTCTCAGCCGCATGGATCTTGTAGACGATCTTGGAATAGCAAGCGACTTTATCAAAACCGTTTTCAAAGTGATAGGTTACACCTTGATTAGATTGTAACTTAGTCACGAACAGGATGTTTTTTTCAAAGTTGATAGCAACTAGAAATCATTTATGAGGTTTAATGTATTTAATCATTCTGATAAGTTAGTAATCGTTTGAACCAGGACGTCCGCCCAGTACAAAACCATTGACATGTAATAAAAAAAATACAATACAACAAACTATACGTTTTACTAAACTATACTAAACCATAGATATATAAAATCCACAAAAGCCTCTTCACTTCCACAAGTATTCTTTGTTAAAATCAGAGTCCATTATACAGGTTCGGCTATTTTATGAGTATCTGTGTGATTGGTTAACACCAGACGCAGTAAACAATCTAATCTGGGCCAGACATTGGTGTGACTGGCATTATGAGGTACGATGGTAGGTCATGTGTCTGTCAATCAGTATCAATTACGATCGTGGCACACTGGTGACCGCCGCCATTAACGTATGCAAAAGCAATTGTTCACTTGAAAAATCGCTCAAAGAAGTCAAAATAGGGATTTGCAATGGACATTATGTTTCGCCACTGATGCATCAAAGTTTGAATTGCCCTCCAAGCATCTGCCTTAAAACGTTTAGAAAGCATAACTGAGGCCTTGAATGTTGTAACCTTGATCGAACAAGTTCTAAGAAGGACGCTCTTTGAGACCTTGGTTAAGCGAGCATGCTCGATTTTATCTCGAATGTTGGAAAATATAAACACCAAACACTGAAGCCATTGGAATTTTGCTCGACATGAACGGCAAGTTGATTATTGGAAACTGGAAATCATCCATTTTGCCAAACAGCCTTGTGGAAGGTTTGTACCTCTGAATAAAAGAATTACGTTTCTTTTCTCTGAGAAAATAAATATGAGAAATAAGTTGAGTGCTGACTTTGATTATAAAGAATGTACAGATTTCTTCAACCCAGACACGATCAAATGTAGAGATATTCGAACTGACCTTTGAGACCACACATCAAGTGGGTCACATAAACACAAATGAGAGGTGTTTTATTATTTTCTGAATTTTTTTACGTTTCCATTTTCTCAGATCCTCTCATTTTGACGGACGATCAGGCTTACTATTGATCACAAGTTATATGTGGCATTGACTTGTACATGACGGCAGACTTTTATTCATTCAACATTCATTTAGCTATTTCGCCGGAAGCATACAGTTGATGTAATATCATTGAAACTGGTGATCATTTGCGAACTTTGAGTAGTATATATTATTTACCAAGGTAAACGTAGTCCAAAGAGTCTGTAACCAATCACAGTTTGTGAAATAATTCAGGATGATAAAGGATGAAGTATTCTTCAAGTCTTTTTTTTTCCTTATGTGTTCTGTTCTATTTTGCCAATTCTTTTTTCAACATTGTAAACAAGTAATTAGGCGAAATGTTAACTGCATGAACTTTGGACACACTTAACTTTGGACACACATTTCACTTTGATTCTGGGTAAAATCAAGTATGCCTTTAGTTAATTCATACAAAAGTTGTCAGTATGTTTCACTCATGCCACCTAAGCCGCTGAAGATGCACATATATGCTTCGCTAATGTTCTAAAGGTATAGATGTTTTTACATACAGCTTGTCAGGAAAGGATCGTCCATCCTCAAAAGAGACTGTTGATTTGCCATGTTATTAATCTGTAAGGACAGTTTACTGAACGTTTATATTTGCATAATGACAGATACGCGTATTGCACGTGATGCTCGTCATTAAGCAAATATATCTATCACGTGCATATCTGAAACCAATGTATGGTGCGCCGTAAGGGAAAACATAATTATACAAACAACGATGATTTAGATATGGATATATATGACTATATGGAGGGTATAAGTAATATGTCTTGCGATGCCGTTTTTCCATGTTGTATATGAAGTGTTGACTGGGGGTCTTGACTATTATAACCTTTATGAAACAACCTCTGAGTCATTGCTTCTTGATTTGTCTAGGCCAGCACATCAAATGTGAGTAATGGCTTCTTATTTAGTTTACGGCAGCACGTCAAATGTGAGTAATGGCTTCTTATTTTGTTTAGGACAACTCATCAAATGTGAGTAATGGCTACTTCTTTTTGTTAACGCCAGCACGTCAGATGTGATTAATGGATTGGGGAGGCGAACCTGGGACTAAAGTCGTGTCGTATAGTGACGTGCATGTCAAGCATAACTACTTATAAAAAGTATGTTTTTCAAGGCACATGTCATCCAAAAGGTATGAGCCGAAGATAGAAAATCAAGGTAACAACGCAGCACACCAATAATTCCTGTTCAATCAAAATAAATGCTATATTTGCTAAAATATACCATACATTTTATGTTTACGACTGTCAAATAAAATATATTTTCTTAATAGTTCTATCAATTATTTCATCAGCATTCAGACGATAGTCAGATATGAAATTTATCTGATTATAACATTCGTATCTGCCCACCATCTATGCCCCGCATACAACATTGACATTGTCAGGGGAGCAGATAGTAGGGTTGTCAATGCACACAGAGTTGAAAGGCGACCGTTTGAGAGCATGGATGAAGTCTTCCTTTTGCTTGTGAGTCCCGCTGAGACAGTCTCCAGGCGTCAACACCACATGGCCACCTGCATCTCCGACTGTGAAAAATAAGAAGCAATCATAATGCATGTATGAATAGAACACAATCTGCTAATATCATTAACGTGGCAGCAGCCCAGCGATTAAAGTGTTCGCTCGAAGACCCGGGTTCGAATCCCCATATGGGTGCAATGTGTGAAGCCCATTTCTGGTGACCCCCGCCATGATTCTGATGGAATATGGTTAAAACGGCGTAAAATCATACTACATATAAGGCGTATTGTGATTCTAATCCTGGACATATAACATTGTAAACTATATGGTAAGTCACTGTGGTAATTTAAAATATTCTTGTGTGTTTAATAAAATGTGACTGACGAGAATATACAATTCGTGTCACTCACCTTTGCATCGTAGTGGAAACAAATCTGGAGCCCAGTGTCCACTTGCGCCACACACTAGCCACTGTCTCGCGTCAAAACTGCGTGGGAGAGAGTAGTTCGCGTTGCATCCAACGAGACAGTACTGCCCATAGTCTGCTCTCCATCCGTTACACAGGACGTAACCGTCGCTCGGGGCAACGATGGGTGGACACGGTTTGGCTGTACCCGGAACATAAATACATACGTTGTATATGTATCCCATGAAAAGAAAAGATAAGAAAGATCGAAGACATTGAAATAATAATTACATTGATACAATTATCACTGTTGGCTGTCAGGACAGATCACTTAATATCAGACTATTGTTACTTTCTGTTGCAAGATCAGTGAATTAGTTTTACGCCGCTTTAAGCAATAGTCCAGTAATATCACGGCGGGGGACACCAGAAATGGGCTTCACATATTTTACCCATGTTGGGAATCGAACCCAGGTCTTCGGCGTGATACATCTATGACCAATTCAACAAGCGGCCTTACGTCTGACACTGATTGTAAAGCTGCAGTTCGTCTCAAGGCCGTTGCTGGGTTTCACTGCAGTGTAGAGGACGGTGAAGTCTCCCCAGGGGAAAGTAAAATTGTTGCTATCATAATCAGAGGACGTTTTCACGGGGTTGCCATGGGGATCAGAGAAGACAGGAACTGTCCATGTGTAGGTCATCTCACGAGATGAAGTAGTCAAACGGACACTAGAAGGACACTGGTCAACCACTGGAGCTTGCACATCTGAAACGAACATTAGCAATTATGCTAAAGGCAGTTTACCTGTGTTAACGAGTATGGTTTCAATGCTAATGCTTATGCAGTTTTTGTGGAATAGCAGTCTGTTTCTTAAACCTACTTACCCACATCACAGTTTTTCCCAGTCCAGCCGCTTCCACAGACACAGTCGTACCTGGCCAGACCATCCACACATGTGCCGCCATTCTGACACGGGCCGCTCCTACACGACTCGGCGACTGGAAACAGAACAGGGCATATGTGAGAGGTGCATTATATCAGATATGAAGAAATGCATACACTTCAGAAAATGCTGATAAAATGTCTCGACTACAGGAACATTACAATATCATGAAGGATAACAACACAATGCAAGTCAATGCACTTCAACGGCAGAGATTCCGGATTCCAACAAGTCCCAGCTAAACCAAGATCTTGTATGTATCCGGGTTTCAGGAATCGTAGTTTTGTTGAGTGCATGTCATCCATACCTACATGTAAAAGCTTCGACTCGTTAAGATTAGATTAGAACTGGTCTTCAGCAACCCGGGCCATGTTTGTCGTAAAAGGCGACTAACGAGATCGGGTGGTTGAAACATGTCATTGTATCCCAATTGTGTATAATGATGCTCATGCTATTGATCACTGGGTTGTCTGGTCCAGATTATTTACACACCGCCGTCATATAGCTTGAATATTGCTGAATGTGGCGTTAAACAACAAACCTTCATCACAGCTATAATTAAATGCAGCAATCATGATTATTTTCATTTATTACCCAAACGGGCGAGGAGACCCCGTGTAATATCTTTTTGATAGTTGCACAATGTGCAATTTATTGATTCTCGACGTTGTTTGGTCGATCGTATATTTGTACATTTTTATTGGATGCCGGAACTAATTTAATAATAATAATAATAATGTAATCACAGTGATTCGAGATTTTAAAATATCAACAAGAAACATACAGGTTTTCGATTTTGATGCTTATTTAATGCTTCATTTCATACGTCATTAACAATATGACGTCGTTTACTTAACAACGTGTTTTATAGTAAAAAAATGTCTAACCGTATTTTGTAAACAAACAAGGCTACCCAGTTAACTGCAATCAACGTCAATGACCTGGTCAAGGTGGACGTATTCATTGCTGGACGTGGAACGAGAATAATACATCCACTAAATTCCTTTCGCGTGTACATGTGAAAGAGACTAAACATGGTGAAATAGAACTTGCAAGGTGTACACTAAAAGTGTAGCCGGAAATGATATCGAACGATACTGCAAGATGATTTTTTATTCATTTATTAATTTCACGAGGGACATATTTCCTGTCATCACTGGTACCTCTTGGGTTATTCTCTAAATATAACACAGCTTAATGCTATACATACAGAGACATCTTGGTGTAGAACGACTCCAGCCTCCGTTAACCATGCAGGTCCTCTCGTAGGAACCGGTCAGGTTATAGTTGGTGTCACACGTGTAGGTGATGACGTCATTATACTGGAACCTTCCCCCCGTGAACGTTTCCGTATGGAATAGACACTGGTCTGGCGCAGGTCGTTACTAAAGAGAAAACGAGTCAAACATTACGCAGCACGAATGTAATTCTGTTATATTGCAGTTTTCGTACCTTTGTACTTTTGACAGATAGATAGATAGGCTTTGAGAAGAGCAGCAACTAGAAACATACGTAAACAGGATCGCTGACTTGATGCATTCCTATGGATTGTCTGACTCGATTAGTTACAGACTGTCGTCATAAAACTGGAATATTGCGGAATTAAACAACAAGCAAAACAAAACAAAACATAAGCTCGCTACCTGGTATAGGCGCCATTGTTCTTGAGGGTATGTGTTACATGTTTAGATGAGGTGATACTTACTGCTGTCACAGCATTCTCCATATCTTCCCAGAGGACAGGAGCATCCTTGCCCATTGTAGCGACCTGCATCACAGTGTTTGTTGCAGTCTCTTCTGTCCCAACCCCCATTTCCTCTGTCGCAGGATTCAAATGTCCCACATTCTGGTCTGGTGTCAACAAACACCCCTCCTCTCACGTATCTGTCTGCCATAACATCTACTGGAGCACTTCGACCAGGCCTGCCATGTCTCCCAGTAGCATCCACAACTGTCCCATGTGTCGGCTCTCTGGCATGTAGTGATAGGAATGACGGCGATCAAGATCAACCACAGCATGGTTACACCTGCAATGAACTCTTGGTTTGTGCAGACTGGTAGTGCTAACTCGTAAAATCAAAACACCAAGCTGATAAGAGTTGGCAAGCTTTCAAAGCTACACTGGGATATTACAGGCTGGTCCATTGTCCCTCTATGTGTATGTTACGATCAAGGACCCATAAGTACGTAAGACCAAAAGACTGACTTCACCTTTACAAAAGTCACAATGAAACATCTGTATGTCACTCGGATCTCAAATCTTTTTGCGGCCAAAGACCGTCATACGTTGTCATGAGATGTTTGATGAGGGTTACAGTCTTAAGGTCCCAATACAGCTATAAGGCCTTAATACTGATATAAGGCCTTAATACAGCTTTTCACGTTTTACACCGTTTCACACTCACTCACTTGTTCAATATATAGTAATATGTTCCCGTGAACACTTGATTTGGTTGTCCCTGCAGGGGTGCCACTATTTGATAGTAGTTCATGAATACATTCTTTGATATCGTTGGAATCAAACAATGATTTCGTGCTATTGTTTGAATTATAGAAGAGGTGTAATTCTACACAGCCATGCGAAGGCAGAATTTGCATTTGTGGAATAACCATTGAATTTGTGTTACTTTAGTTATGAATATATATAAACTGTACATTTACAGTCAAACCCAAATTAAATTAACATATTCATGTGTGTGTTGCAAGCTCTAATCTTCCGAATGGTGGCCGTTTCGAATGAACAGGATTCGGTATAACAAGGTTTCACACTTATAACTGTCTTTGAACGTAGGAACATAAGTGGTTGAGCCTTAACCCTTATTGGCGTTACATTATTTCATTGCTTAAAATACACACGGTGGGAGGAATGTGTTTAATTACGCCCGTGACTAAAATCTTTCATGTTAAAACTTCAGTGACTGCCAGATTTTGCTTGTACCTTATCACAGGTGTTTCCTAAACCGGTTATGCAAATCAGTGGGAGGTTACCTGTTAAAAGCTGGCAAGCAGTCAAATCTTACAGGTATACATTTGCGCTGTTCTCGCACGTACCACATATGGTCACCGAAGAACACGGTTAGTACATGTTGCTGCTAATATTTTCAAAGCAATGATATTTCATAAAATATGTGATCTAATTTGGATGAATTTCATGTTCATTTACATATATATGCGGGCAGGGCACGAGGCAATGTAATTGGTAGCTAAGTTTTAGAAGTTTATGTGTTTTTGAATGATTTTAGGGTTCGTACGTATGTCGATTGATATTTTGATGTATTATATGTACGATAATAAATATATGTTACTGTTATAGTGTAAACCGACGTTATAGTAAAATCCTACTCACTCGCTCACTCACTCGATCACTCAATCACATACTCACTCACTCACTATCTGATTTTTTCTGCTTACATGATCTTGCTGTTTGCAGGGCTGTCATGATAGGTACATCGCCCTCCCTGTCTGCCTCTATAGCGATCATCTTGATTCATACAAATATCACTCAGGTATGATACATTCCATCTTACCATTTGACCTCACGAAGGGAATATTTGAAATCATTACATAATAACACAGATGTGTAACATTAAACTGAAATTGGCACGTATATAAAAATATTGTTTTATATGCTGTATATTCTGAACCTGTTATTCAGATTACGATTCATAATCTCTTAAGCACCTAAACAGAGCAGTTATGATAGTCGATGAATGTAGATTAACCTTAATGAAACTTTTAAATACAAACGTTCATCTATTTATAGTCTAACCGGTCCCGCCTTTATGCGAAAATGGTCCCAGGATTTCACTAAAGAATTTGGTAAGCTAAATTTGACGTTTTTGTTTTCTTTTGATTACACAGGCTACATATATTGGATGCAGTTTGCCAGAGTCGTTTGATGGGTCTTGTGACAAGGATGTGTTTCCTAAAACCGACTCCGTTACCAAGAGTGTTCTTCCAGGAACCAAATGTAGATTTCCAGGAACCATGCGAGTCATGCTATGTAACGAAGATACCACGTGGACACACGGTGATTCATTTTCGTAACTGAACGTTAATAAGAAATACAAACTGACTAAATAGAATGTTGAGACAAAAAGAGTAATTATACATGTATTATCACACACAAATAATATGCCTGGTTGCCATATTGTTGAGTTTGCATGGTAATAATGACCGTGTGATACATTATTTCAGCACACGACGACCTGAAACACAATGCTATAACCAGACACAAACGTCAAATCCAGTATGTAGCGCCAATAATGGGGGCAGTAACTGGACTAATTACAGGAATAGCACAAGCCGTCTGCATGTTTGTTTGCGAAAGTAAGATCCTGATAATTATATTCTGAAGGTTTTGTTCGTTTTAATCTCAATATTTAGATATTGTGCCGATTTGTAAACGTATATACACTGTTTCTAGATCTCTGTAAAAGAATTGCATGTTTTGTGTCATTTAGTTAACATTATATGAACAGAATGTACCACTGTCCACATGCGGTCTTTCTCTATGTCAGTATTCTGACATACAGGGTTTTTAACGAAATCACAAGCCCCCAACTTAAAGAAAACAACAAACATGTCCATATTATCAGTTACGATGTTTCACGACAGAGAGCTCCCCGCCAAACACACCTCCAACGATCACGTGTCCACGAGTGAGTGATGTGACAGCAGAGACAGGTGCGACGACAGCACATGTGACTTGGTCTCCACCTACTGCTACAGATCCAGAAGATGGCAGCAAAGGGTAGGCAGAAGACGTGATAAACGATAGTCGTATTCAAAGTGCATAATAAAGTGCAAAGTTTATACAATAGATGACATTGGTGTAGATAAGGATATTGAGTCAAAAATCCTTTTGATTCCTTGAGGGACAATGTTCACAATTCACATCTGCAGTATTAAAATATGCTTCCAAATCCAACTTTATATATAAAAACTCTTAGAAAAAGGACTACCCACAATGACATAAAATACCTTGCCGTTTTTCCAATAAAATATTTCAGGTTTTGGCTGCTAAATAAAACATCTCAACCTCGGACATGATACTCAAACATTTAAAATTATAACATATTTCTTCATATTTGACTAAAAGACTGTTTGTAACCTCAAAATAAAGTAGGCATTGGAACAAAACATGACATTCACCCTCAACGCACTCATTACAATTAAAACACACACGTTGGTTCAGGGTCATGTTGGTGTATCGTTCTGTCTCAACACGTAGCGGGGCGACTCCAAAGCGGATCATTGCCAGTGCTCGGCGATACGACCAAGGGAGGTCACTCTGTAGATGCGGCTCAACTCCATAGGACTGTTACCATACAGTCGCAACTTTTCTTCCCGTCCTGACCGGTTACTGTTCTCCTGATTGACTGCAACACTCCACTCCTGTAAAAAGTTTTGCATCACTTTCTGTTCAAACTCTGATATTAAAAAGCGTATGTTAAACGTATTTCCAATTGGGATAAAATGTTCAAGATCTAAACTTCTAAATTTCCTGTGTACACGTTGATGCCAGTTCCGCTTACTAGGCACAGACTTAGAATGGGCCCATTTGAACACATTAGAAGATAATCTGTTCGGGTTCTGATCGCATGATCGCTTGTAAAATCGAGCAACACTCTTCCATCGCCGGACAACCGGTGGCACCCATCCCATATCACCTGATACAGCACTCTTCGGCGTAAACTTCCTCACGCCCATTAGTACGTCATAGTTCGGTTGTGAACAACGTTTATGGCTGGGATATGATAAGTTCCCCATATTGCAGCACCGTAGTCGATAGTAGCCCATACCATGGAGTCGTAAAGCATGGTGAAAGTCTTGTGCTGCATGCCTCCTAGGATTTTACACTTTGATATGAGGAGTCCTAATGCCCTGCTTGCTGCACCTACCACTGCATTTCCCATCCGGGTGTAGTTCATATGCTCTGTCAAGAGCAGGCCGAGGTAATTGTAGCTTTATACTATCTCTAAGATCTTGTCTCAACACTGAAATATCACATCTGTTCTTTCTACTGCTTGGCTTCTAAAATGTATGACCTTTGTGTTCTCTGGGTTGACAGACATCTTGTTTACCTGGCACCACTGACTGAGTCCCTCTAGAAGTGTATTCACGTCAACTTCGATCAAGGCCAGTAGAATGATATCATCGGCGTAGGCTAGGACGCTTATGCTCTTGTCGTCAACAGGTATGCCGATGTCAGAGGCGTTAGGGTTGATATCAGGTTGTTGATGTACAGGTTGAATAGTAGGAGTGAAAAAGCAGACATCTTTGACGTAGATCACTGTTGACCCGAAACCAGGGCGTACTTGACCCGCTTATCCGCACGTATGACTTTACATTATGGTAAAGCGAAACGGTGGCATTAGACATTTTCCCTTCAATTCCAATATTCTGCAACGTTTTCCATAGAATACTTCTATCTATACAGTCGTAAGTTTTCCTAAAGTCCACGAAAGCTGCGAATGTCTGTTGGCCAATACTTTTCCTGGTCTCTATAGCTGATACATGTTTTATGGTTGATCTTCCTCTTCTGAAGCCGTTCTGCTCATCATCTAGTATATCACGGTTTTCAACATGCCCAGAAAGCCCATTGTTTAAAATTCCACAGTATTGCTTGTAAGGCGAACGTGCTAGTGTTATTCCTCTGTATGACAAAGGGTCGCGAGGATCATCTGTATATGACTTTAGTATGGGGTTGAGAATTCCTTTCGATCATCCAGTTGGAACTTTCCTATTTCTAAACCACAGATTAAAGGAATTGTGTAGAAACGTGAGAGCTTCTTCATTCTTTAGCATTTCCACTTGTATGCCATCGTGCTTTACCTTTTTGGGCTTGGAGTAGAACATGGCGTATCTCCTGAAGTGTTATTGCGTTATTAAGGCGGGGGCTGACGTTTGTAACGACTGCCTTCCTCTCCATCGACTTTATTGTTAAGAAGGGTGGAGTATGCTGCAGTCCATGTGTCTAAACAACAGGCTTATTTCTGGATATCGATCCATCTTCAGTAACCACCTCCATAGGAATCTGTTTTCTTCTTGCACTTCCAACACCAGCCTTGCCGATCTTCTTCCAAAACTCACTTGATCTTGATTGACATATTTCTTCAACGTCTTGCAGGGTCTTTTCCCTATACATCCGCTTGGCTTGCTAAACGGCTTTGTCAAACACTGTCCGGGTGTGCACACACTCAGCCTTCAACTCCAGACGTGTCCGACCACGACTCCGACACCAACAGCACTCTGCCTTGCACATAGCATTCCATAGTGCCGTCATAGTCGTGCATTTCTTTTAAAAACATATCAAAATAGTTAAAGGCCTCATCTATATCACATTGCTACTGTTTGGATGTCTCAAGTTTAGAAATTATTTCCTGCAGACGGTTGTGAATATGCTGTCACATCCCTTTTGACACGGTTTAATGCAGAAGGCTGCAGTGCTGTGGAGTCTTTATATTCCCCGAAACGTTCTTTGTTGGACCAAATAGATAGGGCGTTCATGTCATTCACTCTCTGGATAGAGGGGTAAGGGATTGAAGCTGATTATGGGAATGGCCAGTCTGGCTGTTAAAGTATCAGGGTGAGCCTGTGCAGCTTGACTATAACAGGACCGCCCGTACCTCATCTGCTAAATTTGTATTTGAATCTGTAATATATAACTTAAACCCTCTTAACATTTCATAACTCAAAGAGTGCAACAGATAATGGGAAAAGATCCTGGAAGTGTGTTTGACGAAGGTACCCATTTCATACAATACAAGACCGTGGACAAAGGAGGGCTTTCTGCATCTTGTAGCATACAATTCACAGTAAAAGGTTTGCTCAAACTAAGGTCTAATTTACTGTAGATATTATGTCTTGGTTAAAGTAATTCTAACTGTTTGCATGATTAAACGTAGAATGTGTACACAAATCATTTCTAAACGAAATAAATAATTTTTAGGACAAGGATTTGGTCTTCTTCCGCTATACAGATTTTGATTTTTAATAATTCCCAGTTCTTTCTCCTTGACGTGTCATGGCTCACACAAAAAAACCATCTTTAATAAAGTGATTGTAATATATTATAAATCCAGTGCAACGATGCTCCCCGATCCACTGGCCGAGCACAGGGCGAGTGGAGTGCGACAAGAGAGAGATCTCTGGGTCAACCTGTAAGCTGTACTGCGATGAGGGATACGAGGCAGATAATGTGACTGAGTCAGTCTGTGACAAGGAGAAATGGAGTGCTACTTTCGAGTGTACAGGTTAGCTGTAAACCCCAAACATGTGAAAGCTATCTAACATAACGATTCGGCAGTTTCTCACATGCACGATTAATTGATAAATCAAACGAGACTTACCTGTAAGGTGAACTTTGATTGTAGTTCTACCGAGTTATAGTTCAGGAACGGAGGAGTCATCTGCCCACCCGGTATTATGTACCCTCCCATTTTGGATTGAGTATGTTGTGGTGGATATGTGTCCATTCACAGCTTTAAAAAATGAAGATTAAGCACGCGATAGTTTCAACAAACTAAGAAAATAACGAACTAGATGAACCAGGTTCTGAGTTCATCTACCGCTTTATATGAAGAAAGGTGAACAGCGTCTGCTCACCTCGAAAAAGAATGAAAAAGATTAAGCACGCGGTCTCTTCTCACGTGACTCCATAGTGATTTCATACCTATGACGAGGTAGAATTAAACACGACCGGAAAGCTTTATTAAGTTAGGTTCTCTAGTTCTTTGTGCTGGTTCAAGCTGATTGGGCCATATTATGGCTATGTCTTTCGTGTTCAACTGAAGTAAGAGAAAGATCGAAGGAATTGTACCCCAAATTGGTGGCTATTTTCAGCTGTTTTCACTTTGAGGTTTATGGATATGAAAGGTTAGAGGCAAATTGTACAAAGCAGGATACGTATATGTAAGTAAAATGTACTAGTATTTTACAGAAAAGGAGTGTCCGACAATACCAAATGTGACGAACGGAAATGTCTATTGCATGGGGAATCCGCCAACATTCAAGACTTTGTGTACACTATCTTGCAAAAGGGGTTTCTCAATTGAAGGACCATCAATGGTCATTTGCAACAAGAAGGGAGAGTTCTCACTACCTGGAAAATGCATAGGTATGCACAATACCCACAGGTTAGGTCGATTCAGACGCTTATATTATATTAGTAACATCGTATCGTTTCCATGAAACTGCATTGGTACTCAGCTCAAGGAATGTATAACTCGATAAATATTCGTTAGCCCTCATTAAATGAACAATATTACAAAGTATTATAATACTACGCATATAATGAACTGACCACGTGTTGTATGGTTTAATCAACATGCATATAAAGAACTACGGCTATAACTAACTGAAATTAGTGGTTTCTTAGATTTCCTTTTAAGCGTATGTATCGTTTACTGTACTTCATCAAACTCCCACCAATGTGTGTACATTAGTGCAACAAATTAAGTTACTATCTGATGTGTTTAGATACAAAACCACCAGAGTTTGTTGATGGTTGTCCCCTTGACGTTGAAAAGTATGCTGAGAAAAAAGGTGGTGCAAGGATGGTTCATTGGGCAGACCCAGCAACCAAGGACAACTCTGGAGTAGCCCCAACAGTGAAGAGCACTCCGTCTTCCGGGTCTGTCTTCTCTCCTGGTCGAACTCCTGTCCGTGTTGTTGCTACTGATCAAGACGGAAACACAGCATCTTGCAGCTTCACAGTTAAAATCCAAAGTGAGTGCATACCTGATAAACGAAATGATAGTTCATTCTTAGGAACATGGATTAAGACATAATTGCTTTTCCCACAAGGATCTAATTTGATTATTCAAAGAGGGGTTTCATTCTTGGTCATATTTCGATCTAACGTGTTGATGTTTCAGCATGTGTTTGGAAATGTGAAATTTTTTTGAAAATGTTTTTTTACATTTATCATAAAGTCATTTATCATTTACCCCTACTAGTTTATTCTAGTAGTTTGAGTGAGTGAGTGAATAAAAAATGTCACATCATCACTATCTTTGCCGTATCATGACGTGAAATATTATACGCCAATAACAAATGTAGGAAACGGTGTAAAATCATAGATTATCACAGAGCATGTAAATGCTTAACTGCCAATCAACAACACAATGTAATTTGAAATACCCAAAGAAATTATTGTGAATTTTTCATTATACTTCAGGTCTTGTTTGTGACGACCCCAAATTAGACAAGTCTGGAAGAGATCTTCTGTTGTACTCATGTTCTGATGGCATGACCTATGGAGACACCTGCACAATGTCCTGCAAGTCTGGCTACCCATTGGAGGGTTCAAGCAGGATTTTGTGCGATGAAAGACCTGGTTCTGAACGCCCCCAAGAGTTCACTGGACATGGCCAGCTGATACTATTGAACCCTACTGTAAAAGTGAGTAATAGAGGTATTTGTTGTAATTATACTGTTAGCCGGTAAACCCTTGTGTTATACCTCACAATGATTGTCCATGGCGATTGTCTGATATACAATGGTTTGGAAATGAAGGTCGAGGTATTTTGTTGTTTACTAGGTCCAAACATTTTGGGTACCCGATGAAATGGGTATATGTGAATACAATCTAATCAGACTGATGGTGATGACATTTCATCTTCAAGACAATGGAGTTATTATAGCGGGGCTTTAAAATAATCTAACATTACGAATTCCTTCAAATGTCATTTTGATAAAATACAATTTTTGACTAAAGATGATCGAGAACTCACCATATACCACGTATCCAATACAGCAGTCCTGTCTCATGGGACAGGGATAAACTGATGTTGATCAAGGCTTTAAATCGCCATGTTCCAAGTCTTCTGACTCCTGAACAGAAACGATCCAAGTTCATCATCTCTAATAAGAATGGGTGCTGCTCTGAAGCAGACATAGTTGATTTAGTTGAAGTATTAGTAACCATTTGTAATGATTCTTGGGTTCACCACTGTCAGACAAAGAGTAGAAAAAAGCGGTGGTTTAAATGACTTTACAACACATGGAAATATGACTTGGAAATTTCTGTTTTATGTTGTACGAAATTGACTCTCTAAATCTGGAAGTCATGCCACGCTAGACAAAAATTGGGATCAAAGCTGAAAATAGGTAGATATTGTTGAGGTCAACCAGTTAATTATGGAAATAAGTTCCCAGCTGCTTCAGTATCTTGAAATTGTTAGACCTGCATCTGGTTTTCAATTGTTTGTTGAATTAGTCCCTTCACTGCTTGTTTTCCGTCAGTCAACAACTGCCCGGACCTCAGGCAACCTTTGAATGGCGCCCTAGCATGTGATCGATGGAATCATGGGAAGATGTGCCAGATGCAGTGTAATGAGAAGTTCGATGTGCCGAGAAAAGTGCCCGCCCAGTATGTTTGTGGAGAATCAGACGGAACTTGGCGCCCCAGTGACGACATTCAGGACTGTACTGGTATGTTAACATGTGCTTCATCGTGTTATCTTGCTGAGAGTAAAGATTAGAATATATATAACTAATATCCTTTGCATCTGGTTCAAAGGGAATTTCTGCATCTGGTTCAAAGGGATTTTTCCAACTTTTTAATTCTTCAATTAATCATTGAATTCATGATTGACGTAGGAATGAGTGACGTGAGATTACAGAAAAACTCCAAAAACTATCATGGTCTTGGGGCATTAGATCCGGTATGAAGTGTCGACAGCAGAGTGAAATAAAACAATTTAATTGTTCCGATATATTAAGTAATTCATGGATAAATACCTGATAAGACCATGTATGATTTCATTAGTGAAGCGACGCCCTGGATCCATGATGATGCCATCCGAGCTGTATTACTACAGTGGTAACTGTCCTGATGCCACAGCAAACCAACAGATTAGGGAGAACTTCATCAAGATGCTCAAGGCCAATCCTTTGTTCAAGGAAGAATGTGGTGGAACTGTCCCAGACTGCAGGGCCGAGTTCGTCAGCGTGAAATGCGGTAAAACATCTCGCCGTAAACGTGCCGCCAAAGTCAACGTCAGAGTTGAATTTAACGTCATATTGCCATACAGAGAGAACGGGCAAAACTCCAGCGTTACCGTCAAGTCATGCGAAGCTTCATTCGACAGAATCAAGGCTGCAATAGATAATGCTGTTCAGTCTAAAAGCCTCGATGTTGGAGTTCCAGGGCTAGAACTGCAGGATGATTCCTTTGCTCCTGGCATTCCAAATTTTCTCTGTGGGAAGGGCATGATAGCAAATTATCGCACTGCTTCGTGTGGTAAGTGTTTAGTGTTTTATTGTGCAATATTGGAATACTGATTGAAATTCCAGTTCCAACTAGTTTCTAGATTTGCAGAATAGGCTTTCATGAAGGCAATTTTCCGTCTTGTAGTCAGTCCACTGATGTTTGAAAAAACGTTTTGATAAGAACATGCTACTCAAGTGCAGAACAGTTAAATTATATTTTTTCACATTTCATCAACACATGTACTCCTAAAACATTATGCATAGAAATAATGATCAAAGAATGATGAATTTTGTAACCATAAAATATATACTTAGGAACAAAACTAAGGGAAGTGATTGAGGCTATCGTTGAGGTATACAATTACAATACTGTGAACACAACATCAACTAACAATATAATTTCACGTGATGCGTGAACAGTACATGATGCACGTGCACACAGATACCAAAGTGGTAAGTTCAAAATCACCGATGCACTTTAGCAAAGCACACGCTTCAAAAGCCCTCCGAGACAGTATCTCAAAGAAAGGTGTGACACTAACCAGCTTACCACAGGCGGCATAGTCTGAAATGCAAGACGACAGGTCGTCACCGGTGAGGCACTATGGACAGTAGGCTGTCTGTCCTGATTGGTCCACTGACATGCCCGCATTAGATCATCTGCAGACGTTTTTTAGGCGGAGACAATAAGTCAGAGAGCCTGCAGCCTCCAACGTGTCCCTTCTTGAAAGAGTTCTTTAGCCGGAATGGAGAGGAATATCAAGCGGAACCATACGCATGTTAATCAACAATACGGCATGAACGTGATGCGCATGTTTTGCCCAACATGGTAAACACACCAGATAGTGATATTAAAGCCTTAAATACATATTACAGCTGTTTATCGTCATTACATTTTCATTTCCTCGAATCTGAATGTGATTACAATTTCAAACAGCCGGTTGTCCATCTGGAACGATGTTCAACGAAACTTCCAACGATTGCACTGATTGTCCCTTAGGATCATACCAAGATAGTGGGTTTGCTTCAACATGTTTGAGGTGCCCAGATGGCTTTTCCACGAGGTCCACAGGAAGCAGAAAGAAGGAAGACTGTTTAGGTTGGTTGACATGTTAATGTATATGTAATCCAATAGGCTGACAACTGACTTTCTTCATATTACACATGTTGGTGCTAACATTTGCTTCACGCATTTCGCTGTAACAATTACATGGCAGATAAATGCAACATTGCAGATTGCGCTAACACCTTGTGTCATCACACCAATGCAGTCCGAACAAATTATCATATTAACTACATGATTACTAATGAAAGATTTTGCTCCTGTTGCAAGGTGTTTTTCATAGATCACTCATATCAGTAATTATAGGAACAGGTAATTGAGAAGGAATAATATGGAATATATATATTGTATGAACGTTTCTGAGATTCTGTTTGTTCTGAATTGAATACGTCAGTGTTTACAGGAACTGAGACTTGGCATGTCTTTGAAGTGTGTATTTGTTCTGCAGCTATGTGTCAAGCAGGGCAGTCTTCTCGGTCCGGTCTTTTACCATGCAACCCCTGTCCTGTTGGGACCTATCAAGACATTCGTGGTATGACATTATGTAAATCGTGTCCAGTGGGCCAGTCAACACTGAATCAGGGTACAAACAGCATCACAAATTGTGTAGGCAAGTACATTTCTAGACATACAATCATATGAGTTGGTTGGGTTGATCTTCTCTTTGAAGAGACAACTAACGGTTGGTAAGATGGAGAAACATTTCCCATAGAAAAAATGTGAGATGATGAGACTTAACGAACCGTTAAACAAAAACATTTCAGTTACATGACATAACGTATTCAGGAAGGTAACCAGAACTGATGCATGTCTTGGGTGTTTACTGACAAACCATGAGTAAACAACCAGAAGAATCTGTGTTTCAAATTTACAATAAACGGATTGAAACAGAACAGCGAATTGCAGCGCCTGTGATGTAATGGCTACCATGACCTTTTGAATATTAGGGTACACGTGCTGTTATGACTACATCCTATTTCTTTTACAGATTTCGATATCTCTGTCAACAAATCTACGTTAGGCGATTTTGGAACAATTAAGGGTGATTTCACGTCCCTATCGGTGTATTTCTGGATAAAGATACATGGAAATGGTAGCTCGAAGGTGAAGATTTCCGACGGGCATGGTGGTGAAAGCTTCAATGTCAACATTGCGGATACAATTACGGTTGGAATAGGAAGGTAAGATGTCAACAGGTGAGATTTAATCTCATGACAACAGTTCAGTAAACTTGAATATTGTGGTATCGCTTAGAAAACAAGTTTAGTTGTCATTGCATGGCCCTTTATAAAAAAGAGGGTTAGGAGAGGCTGGCGTTTTTCGAATATGCAGTCAGCGTAGTCTCTCACTTTCGTTCATTATAATATGATGATGATTTGTTGTTCAACGCTGCAATCAGTAATATTCCACTCTGTCTGTAAAGAGTCGTGTCTGATTTGATACACGAGCATCAATATCTGTTGGTGGGATAGATACGATGACCACTCTATCCCCTTTGGTTGCCTCTTACGACAATCACGGGTTGCTAAAGATCTAAACCTGGATCTCTACTGTCCATATGTTCTTGAGACACAAGCTCAAAGGTCAAGCAAATCTACCAAACTGTGCATTACATGGACGTGGCGTTCAGTTCCACGGCACAGAAATTCTGTTCAAATAACCCAATATTGGCATGTTTCAGTGACTCAGTCGATTCAGGTCTGTCTGTGAGGAAAAATGACTGGATGCACATTATAACAACAGCTGACACAAGCACGAAAACGGTCACTGTTTTTACTGACGGCAAACAGGCGTTCTCGAAAGTTCTTTCCAGCATTGCTTCACCAATGGTCTTAAACGGAAGTACTGTCTCATTGACCTCCGACACAAAAGGTCAGATTGCAACAGTGTTTATACTATTCTGCACTACATGTTTACTTTCGTTTTTCTTTTAAAGACATTATTCCGAAGTCGCGAAAAACGACAAAATTGCTTACTTAGCATACATATTCATTTTAAGGTTGTTATGCTACACACGTTTATTGAGGGCAAATTAAATTTCTGAACATACTGGTCGCTTGTTTGAACCTTATCGTCATCATTTGCCTCTTCCAGACATTTGCCTCTTAAACAACATATAACCGATATAATTATTATTTCTATAGTGCAATGACGCTCACATCTTACTAATATTCTTTTGCACATTTGTTTACATTTAGTTACCATCAGTAGCCTCAACATTGTTGGACGGATTTTGACCGGAGGTGAGGTGGGGGAGGTCAGTTCCGGGTGTGGCGTTCATGTACGCGACTCTTCCATGGAGGCCAACGCCGAGGGATTAATTGTACCCAGCACTTGTGATTGTAAGAGAACAATTGCAAATTATTGCATATGATGTCCCATTTTTGATACCCTCAACTCCCAACTGATTGAAAAAACACACAGTTGCAATGGCAGTTTAAAATGATTTTGATTTTGAGTCCTTCCAAACGCCTTGCAAAAAATATTCCAACTATTCCGTGCTCGTTCGCCTGGGAAATACATCAGTCTGATACACAAGAGTATGACACAAAATCCTAATATCAATCAAAGTGAAGATTGTGATGAGTAATCTTTCTTTTTGCAGCTATTAATGAATGTCTGTCGAGTCCTTGTGGCAACCACACCTGTGTGAACGAGGTGGGCAGGTACAGGTGTGACTGTGCACATGGGTACTCTGGACGACAGTGTGAGGTAGCTCCTGACCACTGTCGACATCACAGCTGTCAACACGGGGCCAGGTGTGTCAACAACTACTCCAAATACACATGCGTCTGCGGACAGGGGTACCGGGGACAACTATGTGAAGAGGTTATAGGTGGGGAGATATGTTCTCACCACAAAAACTGAAAAGAGTTACTATTATTATTTTCATAAATGTTTTTCACAACATTTTAATAGCCTATTCATATGTTCTTTCCGGATAATTATTACTCTTCAGTACTTTTTGCAATGCAATCTTTCTTAGAACCTTTCTTGGACACGTTCTACGTTTTCATGTAATTTCAAATATAACAATCCACCAAATTAATAGTTGCTTAGTAAATAGGTGTTAATATGTGATATAATATGTGTGACGTGAAGTCAATTTTCACTGAAACCAGTTTATGAGTTATATAATGTATAAACCTGCAGTCTGTTTCTGTTTTAAGTTAACGGTGGGTGGAGTTTATGGTCCGACTGGGGTGAATGTAGCGTGACCTGTGGGGGAGGAGTGATGACCCGGAACCGGAAGTGTAACAGTCCCTCACCTGACCCAGATGGAAGACCGTGTGCAGGAAGTGACACCTTGTCCGAAAATTGTAATGCACATGAGTGTCCAGGTAAAAAGTGACTATAAACGTTCAATCGGCCACAGGTATTTTCAAAATACTTCCATACAGAGTTTAAACTTGCTTCTCTGAACTCTCGCCCATTCAAGGAACCATCCTACAACCCATTCAACATAGTTCAGAATTCAATACTGCATACTGTTTATAAAAGTGTTCTTAAAATATCATCTGAAGCAGTTTAGAATTGTAAACATGTTTATCCAAACACTCTTGGTCAGGATATTTATATTTTTTAATAACCATTTAATAGTTCAAACTTTGACCGACATAACGAGACTAAAATGGCCGGGCTTCTTACACTGACCACGGATAATATTCTACACATTCTTGCTCTAGGTCTGCGCCATTAACACAATTCAAACATCAAATTGCAAATAGCAAACAAGATCCTTATCACTGATACCCTGGTACAGGTTGCAATGCCGTTTCAGCTTGTAGTCACCTGCCGAGGTCATACGGTGTCCAGACTCACTGCAACACGACTGCCGACCTGATCCAGTGTTCCATCTCGTGTCGGGATGATCTGATGTTCATCAAGCCGGTGCTGCCGCTGTACGAGTGTGGAAGGGAGACCAACTATATGTGGACCCACCAAACAGAGGACAACCCCCATGCAAGGCTGCCAGCCTGCTCTGGTGTGTAGCTCATAAGGACTTAATCGATAGTTATCTGTGTCGGTGAAGGTGTCTGTGTCGGTTGTCAAGTCTTCAACGAAATTGTTGTCGAGGAGCCGTCGTTGGAGACTAAAGTTCATATAAATTCACGTGGATTCATAAAGATAGTAAACAAGTCATCGACATTTACCTTAATATTCTATTAGTAGTCATCCTTAACATTTACTTTAACCTATTACTTTAAAAATTACTTTTAAAAGTATTTGTTTCATTTTTATGCTTAATCACACGACTTACATGATTCTAAAACTGGAAAAAAATATAATATATTTTTACTGTATCCGATTATTTGTCGAAGCAAACGTAATACTGGAATATTATAGTTGAAATTACGAAAGATACCTCAATCTATGTGCATGTTGTGTTAAATATCAAATATAATGTAGTGTTAAATATCAGGGATCTAAATAACGTGAATCACATACCTACGTGACATCTTGTAATGTTCGGGGGACGGTGGGGTAGCTTAGTGGTCAAATCGTTCGCTTGTTGGGACCCGGGTTCGATTCCCCATATGAGTACAATGTGTGAAGCCCATCTCTGGTGTCCCCCGCCGTGATAGTGCTGGAACATTGCTAAAAGTCGCATAAAACAAAACTCACTCACTCACTGTTATGTTCGGTTTAGCTGTATCAAGTGCCCGTGGCTTCACCATCCAACACCAGATGGAGTACCCATCTCTAGCCTGTGACAGCAGTGAACAAACCAAGTCCTCTCTGACAACACAGCTCCTTGCCAAGACAAACACTCTGAATTGCACGAAGGACAACTCATGCCAGATTCGGGTGGAATTCTGTCCCGGCACCACCAGAAGAAAGCGTTCCACTGGTGCCCCTGTGGCCATTGTGATGACGTCAAACACCGACAGTCTTAATCCCATGAACATATCGCTCGTATTCAGAGATAAATCGCGTAAGTAAATAATCCGACTTTTGTCACTTTCAGTTGCAAATGTAATATGTATAATAGGAAATTAGTGGCCTTCAAGGATGTTTTCCCTTTATCAAATATTTGCATCTTATTTCATCTAACTCTTCATATGTCCGAAAGAAAAAGAATGAATCATAGAATCCTTTGTGCAAACAATCAGCAGAAAGGTAAGTAGTATGCAAACTGTTTAAGATCAGCAAGTTAATATAATCCACACGAAGAATCCCTGAAATAACGTCACGTGCTGTGTAATATTTCTTGATATAATCCAGATGCCAGTGTCTATGTAATGGCATCGGTATGGACAATCGACTCCCAGGCATGCCAGTATCATATCATTGTCGATCAAACCCCATATTAGCCCGATCTATTGTGGTTCCATCCAAAACCTGCATTAACCTTTCCCCTCCTGACATGTTGATGTGTCCATCTTGTCCAAGTCTCTTCAACTCATCAGTGGATTGTCTGGTGCACTCGATTATTTACAGACCGCCGCCATGTAGCTGGAACATTGCTGAGTGTGGCGTAAAACTAAACTCACTCACTCTTTAACGCTATAGGTTCCGGGCAGCTGAAGACATACTTCACTGATGTGTCCACGTTCGAGATATCCGCCCAGCAGCTGGTCAACAACAGCAATACGATATTCACAGTGACCCTGGGAGGCAGGACGTACACGGTGGATCCCAACAGTGGAACCACGGATGTGCACATCAACTGCCCACCTGGAACTGTGCCTACAGAAGCTGCTGGGCTTTGTGGTAGGACGAGACTTGATTGAAGAGTAGGCGTCGATGTACACTTCCGGTGTCTTTTAGTCGAAATCTACCACACGGCCTTTGCATGTATACTCATATAATTCTCAGTCAGAATCAGTCATCACTGACATATTGTCCATTGGCACAGGGGAAAATTATTACAACGCATAGACAGAGTACATAACAAAAAGTAGTCTGACACTCTTCAGAAGTTAATTAGCACAATAGCAACAACAGTTATTTCTCTATATTATGTTGTTACTTGAGCTAACATATACTTACGACCTGAGGGCAAATCAAGTAGAATGCTCTGATTTATGCTGCAGTATTCTAGTAATGAGTAGTTGTATACATATTGTACTGTATAGGTGAATGTCCTGCTGGGACGAGAGAGGACAACAGCGTGTGTGTCCTGTGCGGGAAAGGTTCCTACCAAGACCGTCCTGCCAGCGTCGCATGTACCCTATGTCCGTCAGGAACGACAACTCCAGGTTTAGGAGCAACATCTGCAAGTGATTGCAGTACAGGTATGTGTAAAAAACATATGTTTATGAAAGGGGTATTGGTCGAGTTAGTGAGTGAGTTTAGTTTTACGCCGCTTTTAGCAATACTCCAGCAATATCACGGCGGGGGACACCAGAAATTGGCTTAACACATTGTACCCACGTGGGGAATCGAACCCGGGTCTTCGGCGTGACGAGCGAACGCTTTAACCAGTAGGCTACCCCACCGTCCCGTATGTTCAAGGCTCCTTTGTAGGATCCTTCGGTTGGAATCCCGTATTTGGTCAGACAGTGAGTATGTAGCTGTATTCTGTGTACTTACATGTATTTGCGTTCTGTGTATGTACTTGTATCTGTGTTCGTGACATCTATGACCTACGTCAATATCATATAACTTAAAGACTGTTCAACTCTCACTTACTAACTCCAGGCAAGAAACGTAAGTTCTGTGAGACAGGCTTTTCATTATATCAGATGGTTGATGAACATTACAAGACAAGATTTCAAAGGAAATTACAAAGGATTCATGGATTCGACAGACATGGAGCAGACAAAGTGGAACACTTTTTATGGATAGACAACTTCTTTGTTGCAGTAGTAGTTGCTACTACTGAAACAAAGAAGTTGTCTATCCACAAAAAGTGTTCCACTTCATCGGGGCGGTGGGGTAGCCTAGTGGTTAAAGCGTTGGCTCGTCACGCCGAAGACCAGGGTTCGATTCCACACATGGGCACAATGTGTTAAGCCCATTTCTGGTGTCCCCCGCCGTGATATTGCTGGAATATTGCTAAAAGCGGCGTAAAACTAAACTCAGTCAGTCAGTCAGTTCCACTTCATCATACTAGCTTCTAAAAGCCACTTAAGGGAGTTATGGAGCAGACAGTTGTAAAAATCTGCCATACTGATGGAATATGCAGTACATGAATTTAGGCAGCAAGAGGGTTGACGACTTTCCTCTCAGATAATATTAATGTTAACGCTACTAAAAAGAAACATATACCCAATTTAGTTCACTGTACGTTTATTTCTTTAAGATGGTGGCCATTCTCCTCCTGATTCTGCTGCAGATGGTAAGCCCGAGAAATAGCTCATCTTTCTCCAAGTACTGATGAAAGTCCGAGAGAATAAAATCTCATTCAGTGGTCTATCTGTCAGTTGATATAATTTAAGTGTAACCAGCATGTAGTAAGAAATACCGGAATATACTTTACTTGGTTTACAGATTCCCCAAACACTGCACTGGTTATAGTGCTTCCTACACTGTCTGCTCTGGTGTTGATCATCGTGGTGATTGTGGTGCCTTTCAAAGTTAAAGGGTAATCAATTACTAGCAAATCTTCGATATGTGTGTACTATGTTGACAAACAAGTCGGGTAATTAAGAACTTCATTAGCATCAGGCTAAATGTCTTGCCGTCATGACCAAAGCTGTTATCATCCTTTAGCAGGCTGATAAGGTAAGAAAGACATCTGTGGCATGAATCCACGCCCACAGCCATTTGAAGCTCTGAGAACGATATCACCGAAAGGTCTAAACGTTTTCGCTTGGGTAGGAAAATCTGGATGTTGATGTTACGTTTGGTTGCAACAGAGTATAACATATGGGCATCAGATACTAGTATGACATGTTGGCATTAGATGCTAGTACTATACAAGCGGACTACACGTGAGTATGCTTGTATTGTATAAGGGATTGAAATAGCTTGAACCACATCTCATGTGATCATATGATCTTATTCGGACAGCACCAAGGTGAAGAGAAGCGGCAGCGCTCTTTGGCCCAAGAAATACAAGGCAGACTGTTCTCCTAGTCCTCCACCATACACTCCCGGGAACATACTTGACGACACATGCAACATAGGTGCTCCTGTAAGTAGACACCCCAGTGTGGGGCTGGGTTGGGGTAGTTGGTGAGTGAGGTAGGGGGTGAGGAGGTAGATTCTCACGTAGACTAACGCTTAGTCTTTGAAATACAGTATATATACTAGGCACATAAAGAAACTGTGCATGCAAAAATTTAAAATCTAAATTTATCAAACCTGTGTAGACACATAAGGATTTAAACTCAGAGATTAGTGACATGTATCCAACATGTCCACGTTCCGTGACGTCAGTGGGTTCGTCCTTGAGACGTGCAATACGTTGTTGCACGTGCATTCCGGGAAAGATAAACAGAGCAAATGAATGCCACACAATATTGTCACTTTGGAAAGCTCAACCCCTGCCCTTGCGATCGTTCAAAAAATTAAACGGCTATTGAAACGCATAGCATGCCAAGGCTCACGTCTGCACAACGTCATGAGGCCATCGGGATGGTCCGTGGGGGGATGTCTCAACGACAAGTGGCTGCACATTTCCACTGCCACCGGAACACCATTTCTGCACTGGTGAGACCCTACCAGAACACAAATGACGTCATCCATCGGCCACGTTCTGGACGTCCACGTGTAACAGCGCCAAGACAGGACAGATGGATAAGGGTGACCCATCTTCGCCACAGGTTTCAGACTGCAGTGATGACTGCTCGAACCATCCCAGGACTTCGCCGTATCCACCCCAACACAGTTCGACAACGTTTACGTCATCATGGGATCAGACCACGACGTCCCGCCATACGGCCTATCCTGACACAACGTCATCGACAAGCTCGCCGAATGTGGTGCCCAGAAATCATGTCCGCAGACCCTTGTTTTGGTGGAGAAATGTTGTTTTAACAGATGAGTCCAGGTTTAACATTTCCCATAGTGATGGACGTCAACGTGCCTGTAGACGCGTGGGAGAACGTTATGCACAGGCCTGTGTCTTGGAGAGGAATCGCTTTGGTGGTGGTTCCGTGATGATTTGGGGTGGAATAACAGCACGCCAAAGAACTCCTTTGGTGATTGTTCAGGGCAACTTAACTGGTGTGGGCTACAGGGATCAGATTCTTCGACCTGTGGCAATTCCTTTTCTGCAACGTCATGGCCCTGGGTTAACATTCCAACAGGACAATGCCCGCCCTCATACGGCAAGGGTTGCTATGGATTTCTTGCAACACCACAACGTTGACTTACTGCCTTGGCCTGCACATTCACCGGATCTCTCCCTGATAGAGCATGTTTGGGACGAGATGGATCGACGTCTACGCCGTCTTCCTCATCCGCCAGATAACGTCCTTGACCTTGCAACAGAACTTGAGAGAATCTGGCGTGACATCCCACAAGCCTTTCTTGCACGTTTGATAGGCTCTATGCGTCGTCGATGCACTGCTGTTCTCAATGCCGATGGTGGACATACCCGTTATTTAGCTTGTGACATGGTCGTTTGACCCCTGTCCCGCTTGTGGACTCGTGACGTCATTGTGATTGACTTTTCAATTGAAATTCTCCCGACTTGTTATGGTCCCATGATTCCTCCATTAAAGTTTATATGTACCTTTGACATTGTTATCGTACCTATCAACTGGGATAATATTTTGACAATGCACAGTTTCTTAATGTGGCTAGTTTATATTACTTTGGTAGAAACAAAAAAAACATTTTATATGGAAAAGGCGCCCCAGTCAATATTGAGATGATTCTGAAACCAGACTTGCTTCATTTTGGGTTTAAGCATTGCAGAAAAGCCCGGGTTCAAGAGAAAATGATGTGGTTGAGTGACTGTGAGACCGATTAATACTTAATAAGCAGCAATTCCATTATTTCAGTGTATTGAGAAACCGCAAATATGCCAAACGCCAACTATATCGCGACTATTAACTTCATTGGATTGTTTGTGTCGATTTGTATAATTTTTGTTCAATAATTTATCCTTCGGGTTGTGAACATTACGCACATGGAATAGAATTATGTAGGCATTCTTTGCGGCGTATTCGTTCAGCCAATTTCATGATTATTATTATAGGATATTTATATAACGCACATATCCACGCCACTAGTGCATGCTCAAGGCGCTTGTTTTTTTCCTTCGATCATTGGATGTCAATCTCAACGGCACATCGTATTATCAGTCTCAACCGCCTGGGTATTATACAACTCTTGCAGCCATTAGGTGCACCGAGTTATTGTGGCTTTCCCATCCCAACGTGGTACCCATTCACATCTGGGTGGACTGGGACACATAGTCACAGTACTTTGTCCAAGTTTACTGCACGTTGTTGTACCAGCAATGATGTGTTTGCACGTATTCATGTGGCCACCATCTGGTCATATACCAACAGATTCGTGGGTTCTATTAAGTGAACGGGGTTGTGAACTGTACACTAGGGCTTGTGACAACACTGAGAGAGTCTGCACACAAAGTTGACTCCAAGGTTTTCACACCCGGTAACAGGTGGACTCGATCCCGGCACCTCAAGCTTGCTGTAGATAGATAAGGGTAGGTATGTTCCTTGAAAAAAGTTGACGTAACTTTGACAAATTCGGCCAGGATCATAATTCATTACATGAATTAATAAAACTAGAGTTAAGTAGGGCCACGTACGTGCTGAAACTTGAAACAACTGAAACTTCATCTCAGTTAAGCGGCTAACAGATCGAGTATTGGGGTCGCGCGCTAATCTGATGTACGGTTATCCGATGTTTTCATAGCAATTCGCGGCACTTCTAGCACAACTTTGTTTTCGCTTTACCGGGAATATGGAATATTGAAATTTCGCTTTCCCGGGCCGACACCCCTGGGACAGCTCGCCCACCATGGTAGGGAAAGTATGAATGTAACTACAGATAGTGGGTCAGATTATATAACATTACCCCGTTGATACTTTTTGGTGATGAATATATAACCTAACCTTCTGAAACCTATGTACATAATGAAATTATGTAAATGATGTCGAATTCAAATGGCTTCAGTGGTATCCCCTTCAAACGGCCCAGTCACCGCCGGACTCAAGCATGTCTCCTGTGAAGATTCCCCCACAGTCGGATGTGACAACTGAGTAGGTCCCACACAGAGAGGTGATTTCACAATTAACTAGTGTTGTAACCGTCATAATGTACAGAAGTGTGTATGTCTGTAGATATAGATGTAAACAAATTATTTGGGTGCAGTTAATCTGGTTAGTGACATATCACGAATCTGTTTAAGTTACAATGTGTTCTTTTGTCTCTGTGTGTTTCTCTCTATATATACTATTTTGTTTTCATGGACGTGTAATGCAGTGTATAATATTGTTGTAAGTTATTATGATGATCCAAGTGAGGTAGCACATATAGATGTGTAGGTTTGGGTGAGTGAGTGTTTATATAAAATGCTAGTTTTAGTCCGTTATTGCACATCAGTCGATTAAGGGTGTTAGATAAACTGTGATCATAACTTGTTTCATTGTTTTGTTGTGTGTCGGTTTTTAATAATTAGCTGTTAGTGTCAAATTGACTGGGAGAAGAAAGTACGATCGGACAGCAGAACAGAACAGAACTTTCATTACGTTCAGACAGGATACTCGGCCTATGATTTTACGCCGCATTTAGCAATATTCCAGCAAAATCACGAAGGGGGACACTAGAAATGGGCTTCACACATTGTGCCCATGTGAGGAATCGAACCCTGGTCTTCAACTTGACGAGCGGACACTTTAACAATTAAGCTACCCCACCGCCCCACTCGGCATGTATACAAATATACAGTTAACTGTACATAGGATGGCGGGATGGTCGACATGGAAGATTGTACAGTTTTCATGATGTTATTACAAAATATACATCGTTTACAATTAAACAAGCATTGTCACTAAGGTGACATAATCCCCCTCCGCAAATTATCAAATCAAACCTAAGAAGTAATGAAAGTGAAGGTCGTAATTTAAGATGAAGTTAAATGTCAACCAAAACATGACCAGTCAACCTCTCTTGATATCTTGCTCTGTATTTGTTCAAACACACAAATATTTTCAACACACACTTTGACCTTGACATGAATGTCTTAGTGTATTAAATATGTAAAAATAGTAACAAAGAAATTGTTTATTGAAAAACATTCAAGGGAAGTCTTGAAAGTCTATGAAGAAAATCCAGTGAACCGTTCTTGAGATATCTTGCTGACAATCTTACCATGCAGCTTAATATGCTGAAATCTGCAAAGTGTCACCGTGACCTTGAAAATTATGTGAAGGTCACCAAAATCTACTTGGCCCTGCGCCTTCCCTAGATAAAGCTTGGTGTTGAATATGAAGAAAATCCAGTGAACGGTTCTTGAGATATCTCGCAGACAAGCTTAACATGCAGCTTAACAGGCCGAAATCTTCAAAGTGTCGCCGTGACCTTGAAAATTATGTGAAGGTCACCAAAAGCAAATGTGCCCTGCGCCCAGTCTAAGTAAACTTAGTCTCAGTATTATTCGTTACACTACTATACTGAGTCTAACAAAACCTTGTGGAAGGTCGCGTCAGGTAACCTTTGAGCGACCTATGACCGTCCAATCAAACGCGAGACGGCCGAACGGATTTAACCAATCAGACAACGGCTACTGTTTAGGGTTCGGCGGGACTTACAAAATTCCCCAGTCACTGACACTGATCTCTCAACAAACGAAAATCCGCATAAAACACAGATATTTGACCTGCAGTATATAAGCTTAGGGCTTTCTGATGACATGGTTACCATTAGCTAATATTTCCGCAAGCTGACATCCTTGAATATTGACAAAAAGGATATTTTCAGCGACTGTTTACTCACTATTGACAGTGTTGTAGCGTGCTCCATGTGCATCACCCGGAAGCGATCGTACGGAAAATAGCATTCGGAATCGTTCGGGTACAAACCTTTTCGAGGTAAAAGTTCAAAAGGTATGTGCGAATGTCCACTTTCGCGATTTGGTAAGCTGTGTTCTGATTGGTCAATCTCAAAGGTTACCTGACGCGACCTCCTACTAGGGTTTGTTAGACTCAGTAGAGGAGTGTAACGAATAGTACTGAGACTAAGTTTACTTAGACTGGCCCTGCGCCTTCCCTAGATAAAGCTTGGTGTTGAATATGAAGAAAATCCAGTGAACGGTTCTTGAGATATCTCGCTGACAAGCTTAACATTTAGCTTAACATGCTGAAATCTTCAAAGTGTCGCCATGACCTTGAAAATTATGTGAAGGTCACCAAAAGCAAATGTGCCCTGCACCTTCCCTAGACAAAGCTTGGTGTTGAATATGAAGAAAATCAAGTGAATTGTTCTTGAGATATCTCGCTGACAAGGGTAAACGTTAAAGTCCCCTTGTGACCTTGAAATGAAGGTCAAGGTTACCAAACCAGACTGGTACCTTTCTTATACTGTGATGAACCTAGGTACCAAATATGAAAAGAATCTAGTCAACGGTTCTTAAGATATTCCAATTCGTACGTACGGAGCCTAATACTATATACCCCTCTTCGCGCTAAACGCGCGGCGGGGGATAACAGTTCATTAAATTTTAACGCTGTGGGTTTTTTAACATAATGGTTGGGGATAAGGTTTCCGATGATGTTTGAAGAAAGGGCAGAGAAAAATGTTATGAAAATCATCGCCAACATCAAAAGTGTCGCAGAGGTTACACATTCTTTCTTCGGGTTGAATTTTGTGACACCTACCTACTGCTATAGGTAAACGATGGCAGGAAGTTTTAAACAAGAGAAATTTAAGAGCCAATGAAAATGGAATACAGTGTGTATGTCAAATATTTTACAAGCACAAGTTCAGTTTTGAATACGCGATAAGTGGCGTGGGTTAAATCTGTTAGCAGCGACATGACTATATGTGATAAGGTGAAGTTCTCATTCTGAATTTCCGCTACATTGCTGATAAATTAACAACTCTTAAGTCGGTTAAGCCAGGTCTTCCAAAAAGATGAGCAACGTAAAATCATCAGAGCAAGGGAATCGCGTTTCAAGGGAGGCTACTCTTACAATCTTCACATCTCCTCGTATACGACAACCATTCGTCACAACACTTGCCCTTTCCGTAAACTCCAAGAACGGTATTCGGCTTGTCCCGGAATAACACGAATGGGTCACGAATGATACGACAACGTCATCAATTATCACTATGTGCTTGACGCCAAACTCAATGTTCCTTCTATATGAGGACATCCTGTTAATACTCAGGTCAGAACAAACAATCCGGTGATTGATGTTATGAGCGGTGGCCCATTCCGCCGGGGTAAGATGCCACGCCATAAATCGTTACAAAGCCTGACTACCAAACGCCCGGTTTCCTAATATGACTGTTGACTGGAAACATTAATCGCTCTGGATCAGTGGCCTTTTAATATAAAGAATCAGAAACAAGAACCATCCATATTCCCGAGGCAAGGAAGTTGACTGACTACACTAATATCTTCACGACAGTCGCTATGTTATTTATGAACCGGATGCCGATTTTGTTACGATATTTGGATTGGTATATGTATGACCCGTTAGTCCAGTCAATACCTAGCTCCATTATTCGAGCCTAGTTCAGCATGCGTGGAAACTGCATTTTTACCCTCAGTTACCTCCCTTGCCTTGTATAGATGGCGCCATCTGGAGGTGACCAACAACATGACACTATATCCGTTATCCGTACACACCAGTTGCAGGGCTGTTTCCGAACGTCACCGTAAACCCGGCGGGGGACGCCGAACGCTTTTTACGTTGTTGCCCCTCACAGTTGTCAATAACAACACTGGTCACCTGGCAACGTATTTCTATTATACAGGGGATGGAGGATATTTCTGCTTGGACGACCTCTTGAACTTTGTTTTTTGCCTCGTCCACATTGGCGGCGTCACAAATCAGATCCGTATACTCGGCTGTGTAGTGAACGTCTAGTGCATCTGCTGGGTGGATTTCTACAAACGTTGGAGGTGTATGATTAAAGATTCTGCGTTTTAAATGGAGACCAATTTTACAGTATTTGTGGATATACATTTCTTCTATGTGGATTTTTGTATACTCTAATATTTACATGTTCATACCATTTAAAGTCCTTTTTAGGGTTTGGGGTGAGCGTGAGTGGCATCGAAAATACACTACGCAAAGAGCGTAAAAAAGGTACGTTTTCAAATTTTAAACGGTAGGTCTACAAAAACATTGACAAAGAAAACATTTTCATAAGTGTGTACCAACAGCGATAATACTGTTTGTATCGCATGGTTAAATTAAGATGTAACTTGCCCATGCAGTTTGGTAGTCTGTGGTATGGGTTATCTTCAGTTTTAAAGTTCCAGACATATCCGGTTTCATCACCGCACTCGTAAATGTCCAGCGGGGGGATGTCGAAGCTGTAGCCTTCGTCGCAACTCACGTTGCAGAACATCATCCTCCCTTTCGTGTCGCAGTCAAAAGTGCCATTCATCGGCTTAACAACATCGGAGCAAACTAAAGATAACTTAATCATTTTTTAAATTTATTTCAACATTAGGCTATATGACACGATTCTCGCGGAAAGATTATATCATCTGCTTCCTGGTTAAGACGAACCAAATTGATGTGAAATTGGATTTTATGAAATATTTGTTCCTGATGTCTTAAATGCAAAATATTGACGTATACAATGGCTTATATAATTACGTCATCGGAAAGATTTTATTTGATGTTGTTTAACGCCGCACTCAGCAATATTCCAGCTGTATGTCGAGTCTGGGCCATCATGAGTATCGATCAATGTACATGGGACAGGATGTCATGTGACAACCGAACATGACCATTCCGTTAGTGGCTTCTAACGACAAGCATGGGTTGCTGAAGACCAATTCTAACCCGGATCTTTCTTCATAGGAAAGAGATGATACAACAACTAATATAATATATTTCTTCATGAATTTCCGTTTAGCTTTGAGTGATTGCATTGCTAACGTAGCAATGATGTTGCGCCTACCTGGACACGCCTGTGTGTTACTGTCTCCTACATCGTCGTCGCCCCCGTCACAGTCCCTCCCCCCATTCTGAAGTTGTGGATTGTCACAGCGCCGTGTACGATTTCTGACCCCTCCATCACATTCTTCACTGCATCTGCTCCAGTTGCCCCAGCTTCCCCATTCCCCGTGCACTGCAGAAAAACAACATGTCCTTATACAGGTGAATGCGTCTCCATTACCTTTCGTGTACAACAGCAAGAAGATGCTTCGACCATCTTCCTTGCACTATGGTACACGGTTTTCGACAATCGTAACTTACTTGTTAATGTTGTTTTAAACCTACCGACAGGGCAGGACTTGCTTACTCTTTATACGAACACTTGGTGTCCTCGCTGATTTTCAGTGAACCATTCATACAATTTTCACTTTTTCCCTCTACATGAAACGGAATTCTGAGGATAGACAAGCCTGGGTATTATTTTGCACTCACGTTCTATACTTAATGTATATTTTGTTTGACACGCCAGTTAATGCAACTGCAAGGGCTTCCAGATATTGTCAGACAGGATGGTAGAAAACAGCCATCTATCGAGGCAATAATTCTAACCAAGAACATCGTCACAGTACTGGCCCGTATATTCCGACGTACACAAACACGTGTAGCTCTCGACGCCGTCCACGCATGTACCGTTGTTTGCGCACACATTACCGCCACAATCGTCGATGTTGACGTCGCAGTTCACTCCGGTGAAGCCACCACTACACGTACACCTATACCCACCCAGCTCATCAGTGCAGTCGCCATGGAAACAGGGACTGGAGCTGCAGACGTCAGTGTCTGAAGGGGATAATTTTTACAATCAGCATTTGGACATTAGGTCGTATGTTTTCCTTTACATGTAAGCGTTTGTATCTCTTAGTTCTTATAGGAAGCCATCAATCGCTACACAAACGCTGGCGGATGTGATGTAACACGTAAACGAAATGCTGTACCACTACATTCTTTTCAGAACAATTACATATGGGCACATCCTTGACCCTCAAAATATCAGAACAGTGTGATCCATCGGTTTGGGATGGAGAATTTAGTGTAGGGAATAGCCTGAAATATTTTTAATGTAAATCTTCATTTCTGACAAACAAAACGCTTACCATCACACTCGCTGGGTATCTGTACGAAACTGTCTACTAAATCAGCTTTGGCAAAGGTCTGCCACGAAAACAAGTCTCCGTGATCATCGCTGAAGCATCTTCGAGACATAGAGGCGTGAATACCGGACCATATGTTCACCTGGGAGATGATTCCGGCGAACCCTTCCCCTGTGAATGAACGTATATTTCCGGAGTCATTTTACCGAGCAACGCCATGACTTCGTGTGTATGGGAACTGTGACTCACTACAACAAGTGACAAACGTTTCAAACAAAGTTTTAGTTCTATGATTATGTTTTATAGAATATTTCATAGTAACTGAGAGAGTTTGGTTTTACGCCGCTTTAATGTTTCAGCAATATCACGACGGGGGACATTAGAAATGGGCTTCATACATTGTACCCAAGGGTAGAACCCAATCGAACCCGGGTCTGCGGCGCGAACACTTTTACCATTAGGCTACCCCAGCACCCACTGTAATCAGAAGGAGATGATACAACAAAAATGTAATTGGGATTTACGCATTGTACCCATAGTCTACCCCACCGCTCCGAATATTTCAGATGCTCATGCTCACTTGCTCGTACATACCTCCAGCAGTAACCACCAGAGATCCGTTGATTGTCAGCTTGCCTGTATGCCCAGTTGTCTCTCCAGATACACCGTCTGTGTACGTTTCAACATCGCCATGTGTGACGGTGACAATGTGCTTGTGCCACATCGTATCATTCAGGAAGACAGCGGACTTAATGGTAACACTTCAATATGCAAACGAATTAAAGTTGAATGTGAGTAAAACATTTTCATATTGAGGAACATTAAATACAAAATGTCTTTTAATATAAATTGTATCTCTTAATTAACAGGACGATTATGTACCCTTGAATCCTAGTTCTGAGACGGTTGATTTCCATGTGTAATGACATCAACTCTTTGCCATCTGATGTGACTGTGATGACTTTGTGTCTTCAACCACAGCCCCAGTGTGACATTAGGCAGGTCCAGTTGACCTCCAACAGCTGTCTGTGCAGTAGCAGTCGTGTTGTCGCTCGGAATTAACTCAACATCAAATTCTAAACAGAAAACCGAGTTATACGAATGTATCGGTTCATCATTGCAACGCGATCATTTCAAATGTTTCATCTTATGGGCAAACTACTCATAAATGTCATGTATCATCATTAAAAACTCAAAAAAGCGTTTATGTATGAGTAACGGCAGAAGAATTGATGAAGAAAACTAAAGCTAAATTTGTTTTTTACCCTGGCATTTGTCAACTGACTTTGCTTCTTGGGTTAGTGTAGTCTTTCCCCCTGGACATTCCAGACAAGACCTGCTTCCCCAGCTGTCCTGGTACTGGCCGATATCACACGGGCTGCATGGCACCACGCCAGTCGCAGAGAACATGCCTGGCTTACACATGGCTGGCAACATGGAAGGGGATTGTAAACATCAGCATTTCAGTGGTTAGCAACATGGAAGGGAACTGAAAAATCTGTTGGGAAATAGCTGGCAACATAGAAGAGAATGGTAAACTCTGCTGGGCAATGGTTTCAACATAGAAGAGAACTGTAGACTCTACTGGACAATGGTTTCAACATAGAAGAGAATTGCAAACTTTATTGGACAATAGTTTCAACATGGAAGAGAGTTATAAACTCTGCTGGACAATGGTTTCAACATGGAAGAGAATTATAAACTCTGCTGGGCAATGGTTTCAACACAGAAGACAATTGAAAACTCTACAGGAAAATGGTTTCAACATAGAAGAGAATTGTAAACTCTGCCGGACATTGGTTTCAACATAGAAAAGAATTTAAACTTTGCTGGACAATGGTTTCAACATGGAAGAGAATTATAAACTCTGCTGGACAATGGTTTCAACATGGAAGAGAATTATAAACTCTGCTGGACAATGGTTTCAACATAGAAGAGAACTGTTAATTCTACTGGAAATGGAAGAGAATTATAAACTCTGCTGGGCAATGGTTTCAACACAGAAGACAATTGAAAACTCTACAGGAAAATGGTTTCAACATAGAAGAGAATTGTAAACTCTGCTGGACAATGGTTTCAACATAGAAGAGAATTGTAAACATCTGCTGGTCAATGGCTTTCAAAAATGAAAAGAATTGTCAACTCTGCTGGTCAATAGCAAGGAAAATAGAGGAGAGTTGTAAATATATTCGTGGAAACGAATAAGGGAACACCTGAAAGTACAAGTGTTCCTTTATTCTTTTCCAGGTGTACTTTCAGGTGTTATTCGTTCCCATGAGTATATCTGTCAGTGGCTGCTTGCAAATTCGAACAATGTCTTGAAGATCACAGTGTGTGATTATGTGTCTTAGCTCGTTGTTAAGCTTCTCTAAGGAAAGAATGTGTCTACCTTCACACTGGACTCTAGACGATGCTCCTGTTTCAACTGAGGTAGTGTGGGCTGGACAATGAGTGCAACTGGTGTGTCCAGAACTGTCTGTATATTGACCTACTGGACATTGCGTACATTCACCCGTATCAGCATTGTAGTAACTGCCTCGGACACAGCCCACTGGAAACAAAGCAATACACAAACATTATCTAACCTTGAAGTTTAGAATGTCTCTCTGCGCGGCTCTTGAGAGCACAAATACCAGAAACAGAGGATAAACCTTGTTAAACATCTATGTTATCGGCCTCTAAACGCATCTGTGTATCACAAGTGCTGTTGAAACTTATTTCCTATAATCTCGTGTTACTTGATTGGCCGTCTCAAGCCGTCAGTATTTGTGTGCAGAAGCCAGTAGAGGTGAAAGTTGGCAGCGTTTCAAATGATTCATTATGGTCACATGTTTACGTAGCTACACTCAGAAGCTAGAACTTGACTATTCGTACAATAACAGTAAAACAGCAACCCACAAAAGCCTTGTATTATTGTGTAAAATGAACAATTAAAAATTGCAGTAATTCTGAATAACTTCCACGTATAAGCTCTCTGTTCCTCTTTTTGTTTAAACTGCGATTCCAAGTTTGTTTAAATAGCGCCCCTTAATGTCAATTGATATAGTTAATTAGTTATTTACTGTTATAAAGATATTTACAGGATGCATTTTTGTAACTACCTAGATTAATTTACAATGTGCATTTATTGTCATCTAAATATCTACAGTGTGAATTTACTCCTTCGTGGATAATGTAATTTTACCGGGATAATTTATTCGATTCATTTACATTTCGATTTATAGAACAATTTTACACAGCTGAAGCGACATCTAGAAGGTTTTATTGTGAAATAGAATGAAATCAAAGATACTTTAAAAACGCTTTCTGAATTATCCCCCTTTACCGCCAGTATGAATTACATATATATTGATGCTTTATCGTGACGCATTAAATACGTTTTGTAAGTTATCTCCCTTGTGTCTCTTCAGCTGGGAATCCGTACTGCCATATGGGCAATATCAGCTTGTCATTTCGGAAAATAACCACTTCCTACCTCCCGGTATCTTTTCTTGGAATGCGTGTTATTCATCTATGCTAGTAAAGCCTAACCATTGCTTTTCCAAGCTTCTGTTATTATGCCTTGCCTTTGCGCAAAGTTTAGTATTTAGGTTCTAATAGTAAATGAGTGCAATGCCACGGAGTATGGCATATTTTCGAAACTGATGAGAGGGGAGGGGGCTAGGGGATATATTTCACTGTTAGCGATCAAAACCTTCCAGGAAAGGAAAAATCGATAACATGTAAACTTGTCCCTTCGCAAGTACTTCCTGGCACACAGAGGGACACATTAATCGCTATATATATAGATATATAGATATATATATAAGTCTGTGCGACACATGTGTGCACGCCCTGTTTTGTATGTGCTAGATCTACCTGACAATGCCGGAGAGAATGGAGATAATTAATGGATTATGTAATCCTTGTTTATCAGGCGTCAATTTCGTAACTATTCTTTTAATGCCATGAAAGAAAGAACTGTTCTAAATTAATGATTATGCTTGGTGTTATTATCTCTCTTTAAATCAGGTTATTCAATTCAAAACAAATTCAACACAGACTCGACACACACACACCCCACCCCCCCACACCCTACGGATAGGACAAACATTCAAAGCTACACTGAAATGCTGGTCACGCACTTGACCTAAAGTTGCTTTCTAAATACATCGATTACATTGTGAATTGAAATATACTGAGAGAAACAAATAGAGACACACAGGAGTGAGTGACTGAGTTAGGTTTTATGCTGCACTCAGCAATATTCCAGCTATATGGCGGCGGTCTGTATAAAATCGAGTCTGGACCAGACAATCCAGTGATCAACAGCATGAGCATCGATCTGCGCAGTTGGGAACCGATGACATGCGTCAACAAAGCCAGCGAGCCTGACCACCCGATACCGTTAGTCGCCTCTTACGACAAGCATGAGTTACTGAAGATCATGCTAACGCGGACCTTCACGGGTTAGAGACACACAGGAAAATTCAAGTGTTCCTTTAATATTTTCCAGTTTTCATCCCCAGCTTTGAATAGTGCTGTGTGTGTGTGTGTGTGTCCATTGGGAGCACATGAATTGTGTTGATACGATACAACTAATATTTGTAACGAGTCAGTCATATATCAGTGTACCATAATCCAGAATTATGTTCTGATGTATAGGGAGAAAATCTTGACTTGATTCAACTGGAAACTCAAATCAAGGAAACCCACATATTTACATGGTAAGATTACTGTATTGAATACCGGTGTTACTGCGGATATTGCTTGAATGTTACAGCGATGTTATACCCGTCCTGTATCTAGGCATGAATACATACACCACTGCCAAATTGTCATGCTAGGTTAAATGTCTTTTCTTACCACTTATTATGAGCATTGACTTCGCGAATGACCCTCACCAATCCATAACCCCTACTTCCGTCAGTTGGGATAAAATAAACTATGAAACTAATTCGCCCTGATTATGTTTGCAGGTTTCTCAGCTCTAATTCTAATGGATTTTTTGTGCAATTGTGATGGATTCCACCGTAAGTGTTAAGTGTTCAAGAACTGCATAACATCGGGCTTTTCTCCCTCTACACCTGAAACAATGTTCAATGCGGGGTTAAGCCAGGCTCACTTAAGTGACCACTGTACAGTGAGTGAATGAGTGAGTGAGTATGGTTTTACGCCGCTTTTAGCAATATTCAAGCCATATCACGGCGGGGATCACCAGAAATGGGCTTCACACCCACTGTAAAGTAAATGCACACAGTATATTACCCATATGGCAACAATGTATACTGTATAAAATCTGTTTTCAAAGTCATTTACTGAACATACCTCTATAATTCAAATAATTGCAAAAGACTGGAAACGTTCATCAATATGTATATGTTTGTGCGCGCGCGTGCGTGCGTGCGTGCGTGCGTGCGCGCGTGTGTGTGTGTGTGTGGGTGGGGGGTTTGTACTTGTCGACATTATGCTTGTTAGTTGTAACATGCTTGCCGCTGATGATCATGGCAGTTTATGTCGGAAGCTTGTCATAGCCAATCGCTTATTGCGATAAATTCTACAATATACTAAATATGTGGAGGATATAAAACCACTACATCTACAATGAGATAAATATTTAAACAGTGTAACAGGGACACCTGAGTGAGATTGTATTCGTCGTTTAACGTCAGATGACCATGATGATCTTGTTAGATGATTGGCCAAAGCACCTTACAGAAAACACAAAATTGATAATATCGCGTGAATCCGCCACTGTTCTCTTGACAATCGTGGATTCGATTAGGCATACTCTTAATCAAACGTCCAATGCCAACTCGAGTACACTCCATCCCATTCATTATACAGGGCAGCGCCAAGTTCGTTGATAGTGGTCGGTGCTTTTTGACTGTGGCGTGCAGGATATCCAAGACATTTCCGATGGGTAACAAGTCTGGACTGGGTCCTGGCCATGATTAGGCTGGCTGGTTTTTCATATTTGAGGTACTCAGTAACAATACGAGCCTTTTGTCTTCTTGCGTTGTTATCCTAAGACATTAAATGGCGTCCAGGTCGACACGCCAATAGCATCCCGTGTGCCTCCAGGATAATGTCACTGTACTAGTACTGCCTAGTGACAGTCAGTGAATGACAGTGCTGTACCAGTCAGTGATCCCACCCCTAAAACGATCGTTCTGTCAAACGTTAACGGCATGAGAAAGCTCATTCTGTCTGCGAAACACCCTGTTGCGCCTGTCAAGGATGTCCAATTAACTTTTGATTCATCCCAAAACAACGTGTGCCCATTCATAAGACGTTGCGAATGGAATAATCATTTTATAAATCCATAAACCATCATTCAATTTGGATCCAAAATAATATCCCCCCAAAATGGGCTACCCCCTATTCCTTTTAGCAGAATGAATGCCATTTATGCAGAGAAAGATTGATTGAAGTGATTTCCCATTACACGCTGAATATGTTCGTGTATTGTATTTAGTAACATTTGTAGACAAGGACCAGTCGAGGATGAATAAAGTTGAATTGTAAAACATACGATCCCCAAGGTAGAAAGACTGTAATCACTGTCCATTTCTTTCTTGAAGAGCAAAGCTTCTTTAAGCTGCAATATCACTTTATTTGTAATCTTATAAAACGCAGTCAAAACTAATTAACTTCTTTAATACAATTGCATATACTTAACCAAAGTATAAACTTGACACTTGTTAAATTTAATCGAACAATGGAAGTAGTGTGTACACTTAATGAAAATAAATGTGTTTCATCCGGGTATCAAATCGACGATTGCGTAAACATTTTATTGGAAAAACTCATTCATGACGTTCCATGACTAATTTTGTTAAGTATAATTTGTTGATAGCTTCTGTTAATTCTTTTTATTATATATATTGTAAGCTGGAGAAAATGATTTTGGAACTGGTCCATTCGATCCGTTGGTCTGATTCGAATGTTGACTCTCCTGGTGTTACGTGCTTATTTTCAGCTGCATGGATCTTGTAGACATCTTAGAATAGCAAGCGACTTTATCAAACATGCTCTCAAAGTGATAGATTACACCTTGATTAGATTGTGACTTTGTCATGAACAGGATGGTTTTTTTCAATGTTGATATCAACATGAAATCACTTAGGACGTTTAAAGTATTTAATTATTCCGATAAGCTAGTGATCGTTTGAACCAGGACGTCCGCCCAGTACAATACTGTTGGAATGCAATAGAGGATATACCAGATAACAAAATATACGCTTTACTTAAACATGTAAGATAAAAAAATCTTTTATATTTCCAAAAACGATTGTATGCATCTTCACCAGGACCTATCTAATTTGAATATTTAAATTTCTTTTCTTTTCTGGTTTCTCTCCATATTAATAATCTATATCTACAAAAGCCTGTCCACATCAATAAGGATTCTTTATTAAAAGCAGAGTCGATTATACAGTTCCGGCTATATTATGAGCATCTGTGTGTTTTGTTAACGGCCGACTCGCTAAACAAATCTAATCTGGACCAAACAATCCAGTGACTGGCATCATGAGATACGATGATCATGCGTTTATTAATCACCATCAAATAGGGACAGTGGAACACACGACATGCACGCATGCAAGCGCTAGTCAATTGTTCACTTCGGGAAGGTATGGTACAAGTCCAAATCGGGAATTGCATCGGACATCATCTTTCGTCACTGATGCATCAAAGTTTGAATTGCACATATCTAGACTAATATGCCATAAAACGTTTAGAAAGCTTATCTGATGCCTTGGATGTTGCAACTATGCTCTTGTAACTTCTGAGAAGGGTCGCACGACTCTTTGAGATCTTGGTTAAAAGACTCTAAATCCTGAAGACATGTCCATTCCTCTTTTGAACTCTATCACAATCCATACAAGAAGAGATTTATTGCTGGTTCCAGCAAATGTACCACCAGATCCCTGTCTCAGAGATTAACCATAATCTTTAATACTATCAAGGAAGGACTTTCTCGATATTCACAGAACATTTTTGAGACAAGCGGAATTAATGCCATGTCGTTTCTCAAAAACTCAAAAGATTTGCTTACATTTTTAGAATCTCAGAAACGGACCGAGTTCCGTTCTGTCAAAACATTTCATTTTGCAACATTGTATACTACTATCCCAAATAACAAACTTTAGGAAAAACTTCATTCCTTGATTCATGGGGCTTTTGTAAACAAACGTGGTGAACAAAGATATGCCTACATGTCTATTTTCAGAGGTTCATGACGATTTGTCAAGAATGAAAGCAAATGTCATTCGAAGTGTACCGAGAAAACAGTATGTGAAATGCTGGACTTTCACATTGATAACATCTTTGTGAAATGTGACGTGGGGGTAAAACATTTCGCCAAGACGTATAGGCACCCCCATGGGCACCTATTGTGCTCCCCTCCTTGCGGAACTGCTTTTATGCATATGAATAAGAATTTTTGCTGGTGTTGGCAAAATCAAAACACGATAATTTGGCAAAGAAGTTTAACTTTCAATACATCGATGATTCAATATCGTTCAATAACCATCAGATAGCCCATTACCTTCCACTGATTTACCCACCTGAACGTGCAATTAAGGAAACAAGTGAGACCGCCTGAACTGTTTCACATTTAGATCTTTGCATAAAGATTCAGAGTGACAAAATATCTCTACAAAGCTGTATGAAAAACAGGATGATTTCAACTTTCCAATACTCATCTTCCCTTTCATGTCGAGCAATATTCCAACAGCTCCAGCCTTTGGTGTTTTCATTTCGCAACTTTTGAGGTACAATCGAGGATGCTATTTTTATCAGGATTTCAAAGAGCGTCATGCCACTCTTGCTCAGAAGTTGTTTGATCGAAGGTTAAAACATTCAAGGCCTCAAGAGTCATGACTTCTTTATTGCTTATGCCAGCACGTCAGATGTGACTCATGACTTCTTTATTAACTTATGTCCGCACGTCAGATGTGAGTCATGACTTGTTGTTTTGTTTTTGCGACCACGTCAGATATAAGTAATGGCTTTTTGTTTTCTTAATGCCAGCACATCATATACTATCCCCAAAAAGGAAACGCATAGGCGTTTAGTATTTTGAAAAATCTATTAATTACCTATTGTGTTCAAACAATCGCCAAAATATGTAACAAAAGTGTTGATAACATGACTGTACACAACTGCACAAGTGAAATGTCGGCTTTACCTGAAAATATTTATTTTGATGGGAGTTCTTACAAGAATTAAAAAGGCATCGCCACAACGCAACCGAAATCACCTTCCAGTTGCAATTGTGCAGCAAAGAGCATGCACTGTCTGGCTATAAAAATCCATATTACTTACGGAAATCGGCATCCGTTTTGAAGGTGTTTCAAGGTCAAATCACTACGCCACCGTTATCTAAAATTTACCTCTTGGTTGTATAGACATTACCTTCTAAACTGATGTAAAAATCATTTCTTAAAGTCTATTTGTGGACGAGTTATACATGTTTGAAAATACAACTTTTTCGCAACATATTTCTGGGTTATGCGTTTCGTTTTTGGAATAGTATATGTGACTAATGGCTTAGGTAAGCTGAAACTGTGACTTACGTCGTATCGTATAGTGACGTACATAGTGAAGTATGCTTTTCAAGGTACATGTAATCCCAGGTATGGGTCAAAGCTGGAAAATCAAGGTACCAACACAGCACACCAATAGTTCCTGTTCAATAAAATAAATGTTTTATTTGCTACAATATACCATACAATTTATGTTCACGACTGTCAAGAAATATATATTTCCTTCAAATAGTTCTTTCAGTTGTTTCATCAGTATTCTTTGACGATAGTCAGAAAATGGATTTGTCTGATTGTTACATTCGTATATGCCCACCATCTATGCCCCGCATACAACATTGACATTGTCAGGGGAGCAGATAGTATGGTTGTCAGTGCACACAGAGTTGAAAGACGACCGTTTGAGAGCATGGATGTAGTCTTCCTTTTGTTTGTGAGTCCCGCTGAGACAGTCTCCAGGCTTTACCACAGCATGGTCACCTGCATCTCCGACTGTATAAAAGAAGCAATCATAATGCAGGAACGAATACAACACAACCTGCTAATATCTTTAACGCGCCAGTAGCGCTCGTCACGCCGAAGACCCTGGTTCGATTCCCCAGATGGTTACATTGAAAAGCCCATTTCAGGTGTCCAGGATATTGCATAATGTTACTGAAAAGGGCGTAAAACCATATTAAATAGAAGGCGTATTGTGGTTTTGATCCTAAACTGACTGACTGAGTTTGTTTTTACGCCGCGTTTAGCAATATTCCAGCAACATCACGGCGAGGGACACCAGAAATGGGCTTCATACATTGTACCAATGTGGGGATTCGAACCCGGGTCTTCGGCGTGACGAGCAAACGCTTTAACCACTAGGCTACCCCACCGCCTACCATTGTTAATCATTTGGCAAGTGACTGTATTCATTTAAAATATTATTGTGTGTTTAGTGCTTTCAAATATGACGGAATAATACATAGAAAAAGAGAATAAATCACATGTAGAAAATCGTGTCACTCACCTTTGCATCGTAATGGAATAGAATCTGGAGCCCAGTGTCCACTTGCGCCACACACTAGCCACTGTCTCGCGTCAAAACTGCGTGGGAGAGAGTACTTCGCGTTGCACCCAACTAGACAGTACTGCCCATAGTCTGCTCTCCATCCGTTACACAGGACGTAACCGTTGCTCGGGGCAACAGTGGGTGGACACGGTTTGGCTGTATCCGGAACATAAATACATATATTGTATATTTCATGTCCCATGAAAAGGAACAGACAAGAAAAGAGTGATGACAATGAAATAATAATCACATTGATAAAATTATCACTGTAGGTTGTGTCTTTTCTGACAGGACAAATCACTTAATATCATACTATTGTTACTTTCTGTTAAGTCGTGTGTGCAAGATGAGTAAGTGAGGTCACACCGCTTTTAGCAATATTGCAGCAATATCACGGCGGGGACACCAGAAATGGGCTTCACACATTGAACCCATGTGGGGAATCCAAGCCGGGTCTTCGGCGTGACAAGCGAACGCTTTAACCACTAGGCTACCCCACTGCTCCCTGTTCAAGATGAACATCACAATCGTTGATAGTTTGTAAGTGATTGGGACATGTACATCTATGACCAGTGCCACTTGGGGTCGAACGATTCGACAAGCGGCCTTACGTCTAACGCTGACTGTGAAGCTGCAGTTCGTCTCAAGGCCGTTGCTAGGTTTCACTGCAGTATAGAGGACGGTGAAGTCTCCCCAGGGGAAGGTGAAAGTGTTACTGTCATAATCAGAGAATGTTTTCACAAGGTTGCCATGGGGATCAGAGAAGACTGGAATTGTCCATGTGTAGGTCATCTCACGAGATGAAGTAGTCAAACGAACACTAGGAGGACACTGGTCAACCACTGGAGCTTGCACATCTGAAACGAACATAAACTGGTTATTTCCACATCGGGAATCATGCAGTATAAATGTTCGCGCTTATGGTTTTCTTAAACGTACCCACATCACAGTTTTTCCCAGTCCAGCCGCTTCCACAGACACAGTCGTACCTGTCCAGACCATCCACACATGTGCCACCATTCTGACACGGACCACTCTTACACGACTCGGCGACTGGAAACAGCACAGGGTGTATGTGAGAGGTGCATTATATCAGATATGAAGACATACGTACACTTTAGAAAATGTTGATACCATCGACTAGATAAAAAGTCTCGACTACGGGGGCATTACAATATCATGAATGATAACAACGCAATACAAGTCGATGCACTTCAACGCTTCCGGATTCAAACATGTCCCAACTAACCCAAGATCTACTTCAAACACGGCAAATATACGTGTATGGGGGTTAATAGGCTTCGTGATCATGTAGATTAAATGTCATCCATCCCTACAAGCTTCGACCCGCGACTTGGTTGACACCAAGTTGTGTACATATGGTGACTTGGTTGACACCAAGTTGTGTAGATCGATGCTCATGCTGTTGATCACTGGATTGCCTGGCCCATAATCGATTATTTACAGACTGGCGTCATATAGCTGGAATATTGCTGAGTTCGGCGTTAAACAAACAACCCAGTAATCACAACTATTTTCATATCTAACACAGCTTAATGATATACGTACAGAGAGATCTTGGTGTAGAACGACTCCAGCCTCCGTTAACCATGCAGGTCCTCTAGTTGGGACCTGTCAGGTTAAAGCTGGTGTCACATGTGTAGGTGATGACGTCATTATACTGGAACCTTCCCCCGTGAACGTTTCCGTGTGGAATGGACACTGGCCTGGCACAGGTAACAACTTAAAAGAAAACGAGTCAACCTTTACGCAGCACGAATGTAATTCTATTATATTGCAGTTTTCGTTCTTTAGTACTTTTCTCTTAAAAATGTGCGATGAACATATGCCTTTGAGAAGAGCAGCAACGAGTAACGTTGATAAACTCTTCAGCAACCCACGCTCGCAGGATCGCTGACTCACTTGCATGTCACTGGTTTGTCTGACTCGATTATATACAGATTGACGTCATGAGTTAAACCACAAACAAAACTTGATTTAAATTCGCTACCTGGTATAGGCGCCACTGTTCTTGACGGTATGTGTAACATGTTTAGATGAGGTGATACTTACTGCTGTCACAGCATTCTCCATATCTTCCCAGAGGACAGGAGCATCCATATCCATTATAGCGACCTGCATCACAGTGTTTGTTGCAGTCCCATCTTTCATAAGCCCCATTTCCTCCGTCGCAGGGTTCAAATGTCCCACATTCTGGCGTGTCGAGAACATTCACCAGCCTCTCGCGTATCTGTCCACCATAACATCTACTCGAGCAATTCGACCAGGCCTGCCAAGTCAACCAGTTGCATCCACAACTGTCCCATGTATCGGTTCTCTGGCATAGAAGACTTGTCGCCCACGTCCTTGTATTCAAGCTGATAAGAGTTGGCAAGCTTTCAAGACTAAACAGGGATACTACTCGCTGTTCCGTTGTTCCTCTGTGTGAATTTTGCCATCAAGGACGCACAAGTGCTTGAGACAAAAAGACTGACTTTAATTTTCCTACTTCCTGTAACTTCTGTATGTCACAAGGATTTTAAGCCTTTTGTGGCCAAAGACCATTATTACGTTGCCAAGAGTTGTTTGATCAGAGTTACATCCTTAAGGCCTTAATGCAGCTTTCAAGGCTTTAATACAAATGTAAGTCCTTAATACAACTTTCAAAGCCTCAATGCATATTTCACACCGTTTCATTGGGGATATGTAGACGAATTTACCGAAAAAGTCTGTCGGGTGTATTTTCACTTGTACAATATATGGTAAGATGTTCCCATGAAAACTTTAGCGTAATAGCTGATAACCTTTCCACCTTGTTATTTAAAACAATGAAATCATTTACGGCAAGCAGGGTTAAGGTTCCACCACTTCACAACCAATCTGATTTAAGAGGGTTTCTGTCTTACGTTCAAAGACAGTTATAAGTGTGAAATCTCGTAACGGTTATACCTAATTCTGTTCAATCGAACGCTCACCATTTGGAGGATTACAACTAGCAACGCTTACGTGAATACAAAATGAATATATTAATCCTGACGATTATATTTGGGTTTCATTGTACATCGATCTGCATATACACTACGTTACCTGTAAACGTCCCACCATATTTATTATGATATATGTATTTATAACTAAAGTAACATAAATGCAATTGATATTGCAGTGTTACATGATATACTAGTATAGAAAGGCTCAGAGGCAGAATGTCGGTATATTCTGCCTTCGCGTGGCTGTGTAAATTCTATAATTTAAACAATAACACGAATATATTGTTCGATTCTAACGATGTGTTCATAAACCATTATCACATAGTGGCACCCATGCAGGCACAAACAAGTCAAGAGTTCATGGGGACATACACTCGTAAAAGAAACGCATAAGCCATTTTATAGAAGAATTTATTGCGTTAGTTTAAGAGCAATTATTTCATGTAATTTCAATGGTAAAGAGGCCATGGTAAGACACTGACGTTAGAATTGGCAAGGCAGCGGACCATGACGAGTGGAACAACTCCCTCTGTCGGTCCATAAACGGAACCATGTGACGTGCAAGGACTTTGCTGATGTACCGATTTGCTGTCAAAATCCCCTGAACCACCACTAAATCAAACCTTTGTGTGCTGGATATATCACCTCACACCATGACAATGCCTCCATCGAATCTGTCAACCTGTCGAATGCATTTAGGGACAAAACGTTTATTTCTCCGTCAGTAAACACATTGTCTTCCATCTCGCCTGCGAAGTAGACATCGTGATTCATGAATCGTGAACCAGACTCGCCTCCAGTTTCTAAGGTTCCAGTTCAGGACTTTACAACACCACCGCAAGCGATTGCGCCGATGGAAGTCTTTCAAAACAGGGGCGACAACTGGCCTTCTTGGTCGAATCCCCACTTCACACTTCGATTCCTGACAATTTGGTCGAAAATTCTTCTCAAACCAGGGATGGGTTGTGCAGTCTCCACGGCTGTGGCAAGACGATGACGCAAGTGAGCGGTCCTGGGCTTGGGTAGTAACTCTTGGACGGCCGCTTCTCGGGCGATCTTGGGCGGAATTGGTCTGCAGGAAAGGATTCAAAAGGCGAGATATGCTGCTCTGACGAACCTTGAAATGTCGGGTAACTGCAATCTGCGACTCCCCAGCTTCAAGGCGGCCTATGGCGATGTTTCAATTGGCGACACACAGTTGTGGCATGATGATTTCCTCTTTCCCAGGCGCAAACAAATGACAAAATCAAACACAACGTTTGCCTTTTTATAGTGACCAATATCGCATGTTGTATTGGTGACGTATTGGCGAATAGTTCTTCAAACGCTTCTAAAACATGAAAAAACACGTTTTGGCGCTGAAGCTGTTTACAATCACACAAAGATGACGGATGGAAAGAATTTTTTTAACGAGTGTATTGCCATATTTTGCAGAAGTGAAAATACACGGGATAGACTTTTTCGTTAAATTTGTCTGCATATCCCCAATGAAACGGTGTGAAAGATGTATTTAGGCCTTGATAGCTGTATAAAGGCCTTAAGGCTGTAACCCTGATCAAACAACTCTTGGCAACGTAATAATGGTCTTTGGACACAAAGGCTTGAAATCCTTGTGACATACAGAAGTTACATTTTGATTGTAGGAAAATTGAAGTCAGTGTTTTGACTCACGCACTTGTGGGTCCTTGATCGTAAAATTCACACAGAGGAACAACGGAACAGCGAGTAATATCCCTGTTTAACTTTGAAAGCTTGCCAACTCTTATCAGCTTGAATATAAAGGCACGCAGAGAAGCATCGACATTACGATTTACCATTACCAGTTCTTTACAGGTGTAACCATGCTGTGGTTGATCTTGGTCGCCGTCATTCCTATCACGACATGCCAGAGAACCGATACATGGGACAGTTGTGGATGCAACTGGTTGACTTGGCAGGCCTGGTCGAATTGCTCGAGTAGATGTTATGGTGGACAGATACGCGAGAGGCTGGTGAATGTTCTCGACACGCCAGAATGTGGGACATTTGAATCCTGCGACGGAGGAAATGGGGCTTCTGAAAGAAGGGACTGCAACAAACACTGTGATACAGGTCACTATAATGGATATGGATGCTCCTGTCCTCTGGGAAGATATGGAGAATGCTGTGACAGCAGTAAGTATTATACCTCATCTAAACATGTAACACATACCGTCAAGAACAATGGTGTTTACTAGTATTCGAGGTAGTCCAGTTTTGTTTGTTGTTTAACTCGGCAATGTTCCAGTTTTATAACACCAAAAATCATCGAGTCAGACAATCCAGTGACATGCATCAAGCGATCCTTCGAGCATGGGTTGCCGAAGATATTTTGTATGTTACTCGTTGCTAGTCTTCTCAAAGCCTGAGGGGCGGTGGGGTAGCCTAATGGTTAAAGCGTTGGCTCGTCACGCCGAAGACCCGGGCTCGAATCCCCACATGGGCACAATGTGTGAAGCCCATTTCTGGTGTCCCCCGCCGTGATGTTACTGGAATAACACTAAAACTAAACTCAGTCAGTCAGGCGTCAAAGCCTGAATCTAATATGAATGAAAGAAATACAAAGATGAAAGCATATGTTCATCGCACAAGATGTTTAGTATAATAGGACGAATACTGCCATATAATAAAATTACATTCGTGCTGCGTAAAGGTTGACTCGTTTTCTTTTCAGTATTGACCTGCGCCAAGCCAGTGTCCATTCCACACGGAAAAGTACACGGGGGAAGGTTCCAGTATAATGACGTCATCACCTACACATGTGACACCAGCTTTAACCTGACCGGTCCCTATGAGAGAACATGTATGGTTAACGGAGGCTGGAGTCTTTCCACACCAAGATGTATCTGTATGTATAGCATAAAGCTGTGTTAGATATGAATATAGTTCTGATTACTGGGTTTCAGTATAGCTATAATGAAGATTCTAGTTTGGTTGGTTGCTTGCTTGCTTAATGACGCACTCGGCAATATTCCACAGTCCGTCTCCAACCACATACCACCACACAAATAACATGATTGGTTTTGTTTGGCTGTTGTTTAACGCTGCACTCAGCAATATTCCAGCTATATGGCGGCGGTCTGTAGATAATCGAGTCTGGACCAGACAATTCAGTGATCAACAACATGAACATCGTTCTACACAATTGGGATACGATGACATGTGTCAACCCAGTCAGCGAGCCTGACCACACGATCCTGTAAGTCGCCTCTAACGACAAGCATGGGTTGCTGAAGATCAATTTTAACCCGGATCGTCGCGGGTCGAAGCTTGTAGGGATGGATAACATACATTCAAAATAATCACGAAGCCTATTAACCCCCATACATGTATATTTGTCGTGTTTGAAGAAGATCTTGGGTTAGTTGGGTCTTGTTTCAATCCGGAATCTCTGCCGTTGAAGTTCATTGACTTGCATTGCGTTGTTATCATTCATGATATTGTAATGCTCCCGTATTCCAGACATTTTATCTAGTCGATGACATCAACATTTTCTAAGTGTATGTATCTCTTCATCGCGGGTCGAAGCTTGTAGGGATGGATAACATACATTCAAAATAATCACGAAGCCTATTAACCCCCATACATGTATATTTGTCGTGTTTGAAGAAGATCTTGGGTTAGTTGGGTCTTGTTTCAATCCGGAATCTCTGCCGTTGAAGTTCATTGACTTGCATTGCGTTGTTATCATTCATGATATTGTAATGCTCCCGTATTCCAGACATTTTATCTAGTCGATGACATCAACATTTTCTAAGTGTACGTATCTCTTCATATCTGATATAATGCACCTCTCACATATATCCTGTGCTGTTTCCAGTCGCCGAGTCGTGTAGGAGCGGCCCGTGTCAGAATGGCGGCACATGTGTGGATGGTCTGGACAGGTACGACTGTATCTGTGGAAGCGGTTGGACTGGGAAAAACTGTGATGTGCACGTTGGTAAGTAATAATAAATAATGATATTAATGGACATGTAGCCTGCGCCTGTATTCATGCACTTGTGCATGCTCATGGCGCTACAATAATCAGAGGATAATATACAATACATATACATGGTTGGTTTGAAGAGTTAGTAATAACTGCTCTTGAGAAAGTTTTTCAAATGAGATTTGAAAGCTGTGTGAGCGTCAGAAAGTTTAATGTTGACAGTTGGGAATTTGACAGATGTGGAGCTGCATGTCGGAAAGATCTTGGGGACTGTTAACAAGAGCTGGTTATGGGAACGAAGAGTTCTGGTTGGAGTGAATTCTGGGATGAGATCCTTGAGTTGAGCTGGCGCGAGATTGTGTAGACACTTGTTGACAATACAGAGGAGCATCAATACGATATTCAATAAAAAGCCAACCGCCTCCGTGGTGTAGTGGTTAGAGCGTCTGCCCGGAGATCGGAAGGTCACGGGTTCGATCCCCGACCGCGTCAAAAAAGACGTTAAAATATGGTACTTGTTGGTCCCTGCCTGGCGTTCGGCATTAATGGGTACAGCAAGGACTGATCGGCTCGGAGTCAGTATAATGTGTCTGAGTGGGGTATTCATGCTTCACTGAGGCATGGTATCTCAGTGGGCTAGCACTATAAAACCAGCTTAAGCTAGTACAAGCAGCCGCACATACACATACACATGCATGTGCATCGTCATATGAATGAAATATTCTCAAGCACGACGTAAAACCCAATTTCACATCAATTAGAAGCCAGTGTAGGGATTTGAGAATAGGAGTTATATAATCTGGAACAATGCGAGCAGCTGTATTCTGTGTTGTTTGCAGTTTGTAAAGCTGAGGGAATAAGCAAGTTTAAGAAACAGACTGCCATTCCACAAAGACTGCATAAACATTAGCTTTAACGATACTTAAATGAAGCATTTACCCACTCATTGTACGTTCATTTCTTTAAGATGATGACCATCCTGCTCGGGATTCTGCTGCAGAGGGTAAGCCCGAGAAATATCTTATCTTTCTCCCAATACTGATTGAAGTCCAAAAGAATAAAATTTAGTGGTCCTTTTGTTTGTAAATGTCTGTCAGTTAATATACCTTAATTGTAACCAGCACGTAGTAAGAAATACCGGAATATACTTTGTGAAGATTGTTACTTACTTGGTTTACAGATTCCCCAAACACTACGCTGGTTATTGTGCTTTCTACCGTGTCTGCTCTGGTGCTGATCGCCGTGGTGATTGTGGTGGTTTGCAGGGTTAAAGGGTAATCACAAACAATTGATAACAAATCTACGATATGTGAGTAGTATGTTGACAAGCAGTAACGGAAACAAACAAGTCCGGTAATTAACAACTCCATTAGCATCATGCTAAATATCTTACCGTCATGATCAAAGCTGTTATCACTGTAAGCAGGTCGATATGATAGATAAGAATGACCCCATCTGTTGCATGACTCAACGCCCACATCCATTTGAAGCTCTGAGAACGATATCACTCATAGGTCTCAACGTTTTCACGTAGGTAGTAAAATAGAAATATGCATGTTGATTTTCCATCAGAAATTATTACATGTGGGCATCAGATACTAGTATTACATATCGGCATCAGATACTAGTGCTAGATGTTGGCATCAGATACTAGTATTAGATGTTGGCATCAGATACTAGTATTAGATGTTGGCATTAGATACTAGTATTAGATGTGGACATCAGATACTAGTATTACATGTTGGCATCAGATACCAGTATTAGATGTTGGCATCAGATACTAGTATTACATGTTGGCATCAGATACTAGTATTACATGTTGACATCAGATACTAGTATTAGATGTTGGCATCAGATACCAGTATTAGATGTTGGCATCAGATACCAGTATTAGATGTTGGATACTAGTATTAGATGTTGGCATCAGATACTAGTATTAGATGTTGGCATCAGATACTAGTATTAGATGTTGGCATCAGATACTAGTATTAGATGTTGGCATCAGATACTAGTATTAGATGTTGGATACTAGTATTAGATGTTGGCATCAGATACTAGTATTAGATGTTGGCATCAGATACTAGTATTACATGTTGGCATCAGATACTAGTATTAGATGTTGGCATCAGATACTAGTATTACATGTTGGCATCAGATACTAGTATTAGATGTTGGCATCGGATACTAGTATTAGATGTTGGCATCAGATACTAGTATTACATGTTGGCACCAGATACTAGTATTACATGTTGGCATCAGATACTAGTATTAGATGTTGGCATCAGATACTAGTATTAGATGTTGGCATTAGACACTAGTATTACATGTGGGCATCAGACACTAGTATTACATGTTGGCATCAGATACTAGTATTACATGTTGGCATCAGATACTAGTATTAGATGTTGGCATCAGATACTAGTATTACATGTTGACATCAGATACTAGTATTAGATGTTGGCATCAGATACTAGTATTAGATGTTGGCATTAGATACTAGTATTACATGTGGACACCAGATACTAGTATTACATGTTGGCACCAGATACTAGTATTAGATGTTGGCATCAGACACTAGTATTACATGTTGGCATCAGATACTAGTATTAGATGTTGGCATCAGATACTAGTATTAGATGTTGGCATTAGATACTAGTATTACATGTGGGCATCAGATACTAGTATTAGATGTTGGCATCAGATACTAGTATTAGATGTTGGCATCAGATACTAGTATTAGATGTTGGCATCAGATACGAGTATTACATGTTGGCATCAGATACTAGTATTAGATGTTGGCATCAGATACTAGTATTACATGTTGGCATCAGATACTAGTATTAGATGTTGGCATCAGATACTAGTATTACATGTTGGCATCAGATACTAGTATTAGATGTTGGCATCAGATACTAGTATTATTACATGTTGGCATCAGATACCAGTATTACATGTTGGCATCAGATACTAGTATTAGATGTGCATCAGATACTAGTATTAGATGTTGGCATCAGATACTAGTATTAGATGTTGGGCATCAGATACTAGTATTACATGTTGGCATCAGATACTAGTATTAGATGTTGGCATCAGATACTAGTATTAGATGTTGGCATCAGATACTAGTATAACATGTGGGCATCAGATACTAGTATTACATGTTGGCATCAGATACTAGTATTAGATGTTGGCATCAGATACTAGTATTACATGTTGGCATCAGATACTAGTATTACATGTTGGCATCAGATACTAGTATTAGAGTTTGGCATCAGATACTAGTATTACATGTTGGCATCAGATACAAGTATTACATGTTGGGATCAGATACTAGTATTAGATGTTGGCATTAGATACTAGTATTACATGTGGGCATCAGATACTAGTATTAGATGTTGGCATCAGATACTAGTATTAGATGTTGGCATCAGATACGAGTATTACATGTTGGCATCAGATACTAGTATTAGATGTTGGCATCAGATACTAGTATTACATGTTGGCATCAGATACTAGTATTAGATGTTGGATACTAGCATTAGATGTTGGCATCAGATACTAGTATTAGATGTTGCATACAAGTATTAGATGTTGACATCAGATACTAGTATTACATGTTGGCATCAGATACTAGTATTACATGTTGGCAGCAGATACTAGTATTACATGTTGGCATCAGATACTAGTATTAGATGTTGGCATTAGATACTAGTATTACATGTGGGCATCAGATACTAGTATTACATGTTGGCATCAGATACTAGTATTACATGTTGACATCAGATACTAGTATTACATGTTGACATCAGATACTAGTATTAGATGTTGGCATCAGATACTAGTATTAGATGTTGGCATTAGATACTAGTATTACATGTGGGCACCAGATACTAGTATTACATGTTGGCATCAGAAACTAGTATTAGATGTTGGCATTAGATACTAGTATTACATGTGGGCATCAGATACTAGTATTATATGTTGGCATCAGATACTAGTATAACATGTTGGCATCAGATACTAGTATTACATGTTGGCATCAGATACTAGTATTAGATGTTAGCATCAGATACTAGTATTAGATGTTGGCATCAGATACTAGTATTAGATGTTGACATCAGATACTATCATAACATGTTGGCATCAGATACTAGTATTAGATGTTGGCATCAGATACTAGTATTAGATGTTGGCATCAGATACTAGTATTAGATGTTGGATACTAGTATTAGATGTTGGCATTAGATACTAGTATTAGATGTTGGATACTAGTATTAGATGTTAGCATCAGATACTAGTTTTAACATGTGGGTTCAGATACTTATATTACATGTGGGCATCAGATACTATTGTTAGATGTTGACATCAGATACTAGTATTACATGTGGGCATCAGATACTAGTATTAGATGTTGGCATCAGATACTAGTATAACATGTTGGCATCAGATACTAGTATTACATGTTGGCATCAGATACTAGTATTACATGTTGACATCAGATACTAGTATTAGATGTTGGCATCAGATAAGAGTATTACATGTTAGCATCAGATACTAGTATTAGATGTTGGCATCAGATACTAGTATTAGATGTTGGATACTAGTATTAGATGTTGGCATTAGATACTAGTATTAGATGTTGGCATCAGATACTATTGTTAGATGTTGGCATCAGATACTAGTATTAGATGTTGGCATCAGATACTAGTATTACATGTTGACATCAGATACTAGTATTAGATGTTGGCATCAGATACTAGTATAACATGTTGGCATCAGATACTATTATTACATGTTGGCATCAGATACTAGTATTAGATGTTGGCATCAGATACTAGTATTAGATGTTGGCATCAGATACTAGTATTAGATGTTGACATCAGATACTAGCATTACATGTTGGCATCAGATACTAGTATTAGATGTTAGCATCAGATACTAATTTTACATGTGGGTTCAGATACTTGCATTACATGTGGGCATCAGATACTAGTATAACATGTTGGCATCAGATACTAGTATTACATGCTGACATCAGATACTAGTGTTAGATGTTAGCATCAGATACTAGTATTAGATGTTGGCATCAGATACTAGTATTAGATGTTGACATCAGATACCATCATAATATACCAGTTTGCATCAGATACCAGTATTAGATGTTGGCATCAGATACCAGTATTAGATGTTGGCATCAGATACTAGTATTAGATGTTGGCATGATACCAGCATTAGATGTTGGCATTAGATACTAGCATTAGATGCACAGATACTAGTATTAGATGTTAGCATCAGATACCAGTATTACATGTGGGTTCAGATACTTAGTATTACATGTGGGCATCAGATACCATTATTAGATGTTGACATCAGATACTAGTATTACATGTTGGCATCAGATACCAGTATTAGATGTTGGCATCAGATACTAGTATTAACATGTTGGCATCAGATACCAGTATTACATGTTGGCATCAGATACCAGTATTACATGTTGACATCAGATACTAGTATTAGATGTTAGGCATCAGATACCAGTATTACATGTTAGCATCAGATACTAGTATTAGATGTTGGCATCAGATACTAGTATTAGATGGCATCAGATACTAGTATTAGATGTTGGCATCAGATACTATTATTAGATGTTGGCATCAGATACTAGTATTAGATGTTGGCATCAGATACTAGTATTACATGTTGACATCAGATACTAGTATTAGATGTTGGCATCAGATACTAGTATAACATGTTGGCATCAGATACTAGTATTACATGTTGGCATCAGATACTAGTATTACATGTTGGCATCAGATACTAGTATTAGATGTTGGCATCAGATACTAGTATTAGATGTTGACATCAGATACTAGCATTACATGTTGGCATCAGATACTAGTATTAGATGTTAGCATCAGATACTAATTTTACATGTGGGTTCAGATACTTGCATTACATGTGGGCATCAGATACTAGTATTAGATGTTGGCATCAGATACTAGTATTACATGTTGGCATCAGATACTAGTATTAGATGTTGGCATCAGATACTAGTATTACATGTTAGCATCAGATACTAGTATTACATGTTGGCATCAGATACTAGTATTAGATGTTGGCATCAGATATTAGTATTAGATGTTGGCATCAGATACTAGTATTAGATGTTGGCATCAGATACTAGTATTAGATGTTGACATCAGATACTAGTATTACATGTTGGCATCAGATACTAGTATTACATGTTGGCATCAGATACTAGTATTACATGTTGGCATCAGATACTAGTATTACATGTTGGCATCAGATACTAGTATTAGATGTTGGCATCAGATACTAGTATTAGATGTTGGCATCAGATACTAGTATTACATGTTGGCATCAGATACAAGTATTGCATGTATGCATCAGATACTAGTATTACATAGATGTTAGCATCAGATGTTAGCATCAGATACTAGTATTAGATGTTGGCATCAGATACTAGTATTAGATGTTGGCATCAGATACTAGTATTAGATGTTGGCATCAGATACTAGTATTAGATGTTGGCATCAGATACTAGTATTAGATGTTGGCATCAGATACTAGTATTACATGTTGGCATCAGATACTAGTATTAGATGTTGGCATCAGATACTAGTATTACATGTTGGCATCAGATACTAGTATTACATGTTGGCATCAGATACTAGTATTAGATGTTGGCATCAGATACTAGTATTAGATGTTGGCATCAGATACTAGTATTAGATGTTGGCATCAGATACTAGTATTACATGTTGGCATCAGATACTAGTATTACATGTTGGCATCAGATACTAGTATTAGATGTTGGCATAAGATACTAGTATTACATGTGGACATCAGATACTAGTATTACATGTTGGCATCAGATACTAGTATTACATGTTGGCATCAGATACTAGTATTAGATGTTGGCATCAGATACTAGTATTAGATGTTGGCATCAGATACTAGTATTAGATGTTGGCATCAGATACTAGTATTACATGTTGGCATTAGATACAAGTATTACATGTATGCATCAGATACACTAGTATTACATGTTGGCATCAGATACTAGTATTAGATGTTGGCATCAGATACACTAGTATTACATGTTGGCATCAGATACTAGTATTATATGCATGCATCAGATACTAGTATTACATGTTGGTATCAGATACAAGTATTACATGTATGCATCAGATACTAGTATTAGATGTTGGCATCAGATACTAATATTACATGTGGGCATCAGATACTAGTATTAGATGTTGGCATCAGATACTTGTATTACATGTTGGCATCAGATACTAGTATTAGATGTTGGCATCAGATACTAGTATCACATGTTGGCATCAGATACTAGTATTACATTGGGGCTACATATGAGCATCCCTGTACCATATAAGGGATGAAAACAGCTTGAACCACATCAAACGTAATCATATGAACTTATTTGGACAGCACCAAGACGAGGAGAAGCAGCAGCGCTGTTTGGCCCAAGAAAAATCAGGCAGACTCTTCTAGTCCTCCAGCTTACACCCCAGGGCACATACTTGGGGACACATTGAACACAGGAGCTGCTGTAAGTAGACACCGCAGTCACTGTGGGTGGGATGGGGGTAGTCTGTCTAGGATGGGGGGAGAGAGAGCTGGTAGATTCCCACGGAGACTAACGCTTAGTATCTGAATATATTGGTAGAAATAAATAATTCCATTTGAATTGAAAAGGAGCCCAAGTGAGTTGGAACATTCTGAACCTGAGAAAATTTTGACTGTCTTCAATTAGCGCTTAATCATCGCATAAATGGCCGGGCGGAAGGGAATATAATGAGGTTCAGGGACTATGAGGCAGACTAATTTTCACACTGTAATGTATGAAGTTAAATGTATTTTAAATATTGGACACAATACAGAATAAACATCATTTCCAATATTTTTGAGTAAGCGATAATATACCAAGTGCCAAGTATATGGTGATCATTAACTTCTTTGGATTATTTTTGTCGATTTCTATGCTTGTTGTTCAATAATACTTACTTTTCGTAAAATTACGCATTCGGTCAAAAAGATTTTTATGAGCATACTGGTTTAGCAATGACGTTATGTCATGCTTGGAAAGGTATGACTGCCACTACAGGCGGTGATGGATCAGATGAGATCATATACCTCAGCAACCGTTTGGTAATGAAACTATAATCTCTCCTGATGAAACATATGAACATAATGAAATTATGTAATGATACCGAATTCAAATGGTTTCAGTGCTCAAGCATGTCTCCGCAAACGCCCCAGTCACCGCCGGACTCCAGCATGTCTCCTGGGAACATACCCCAACAGTCGGATGTGACAACTGAGTAGGTCCCACACAGAGAGATGATTTCACAATTAACCAGTGTTGTAACCGTCATAATGTACAGCAGTGTGTATGTCAGTAGATATAGATGTAAAGAAATAATTTGGGTGCCGTTAATCTGGTTAATGACATTACGAATCTGTTTAAGTTACAATGCGTTCGTTCGGGCTGTGTGTGTGTGCGTGTGTGTCTGTGTCTCTCTCTCTCTCTCTCTCTCTGTTACATAAACTGTGACCATCATTTGTTTCTTTGTTGTTTATACAACAGTTTATTTTGCTGTGACCCGTGGAGATCCGGGTTAGAACGTATCTTCAGTAACCCATGTTTGTGGTGAGAGGCGACTAACGGGATCGGATGGTCAGGCTCGCTGACTTGGTTGACGCATGTCAACCTATCCCAATTGCATACGTCGATACTCATACTGTTGATCACTGAATTGTCTGGCCCCAACTCGATTATTTACAGACCGCCGCCATAGAGCTGGGATACTGCTGAGTGCGGCGTAAAACTAAACTTACTCACTCAATCACTTAAATTGCTGTGTGTCGGTTTTATTAATTAGTTGTTTGTGTCAAGTAGACTGAGAGAAGAAATTACGATCGGACGGCGTGTGTGAAAATCATCAGCAACGACATGACTAAATGTGATCTCTTCGCACGCCTCATTGCTGATAAATCAACGACAACGCTCACTTGTCGGACCGCCACCGTGGTGTAGTGGTTAAAGCGCCCGCCCGGAGAGCGGAATGTCGCGGGTTAGATCCCCGGCCGCGTCATACCAAAAGACGTTAAAATATGGTACTTGTTGGTCCCTGCCTGGCGCTCGGCATTAATGGGTACAACAAGGACTGGTCGGCTCGGAGTCAGTATAATGTGTCTGAGTGGGGTATTCATGCTTCACTGCGGCGTGGTATCTCAGTGGGCTAGCACTATAAAACCAGCTGAAGTCTGGGCCAGTACAAGCAGCCGCACATACACATACACACGCATGCACGTCATCATATGAGCGAAATATTCTCAAGGTACGATGTTAAACCCAATTTCACCTCACCTCATTTGTCTGTTTAGCAAGGTCTTCCAAAAGGATGAGCACGTAAAATCAACAGAGTGATGGAATCCAGTTTCAAGGGAGGCTACTCTTACAATCTTGAAATCTTTTATACGACAACCTCAACAATTATTAACGTGTTCAATGTTCCTTACGTCTACAACTTCATCTACTCCAACTTCTTTGATTACTATTGTTATTTGGACAAATCGAATTATATTATATACGTAAAGATATTCAATTAGAACACACCTGTGTAAATCCGTGAGAATTGATCTTCAGTAACCCATGCTTATGGTAACAAGTGACTGACAGGATCGGGTGGTCAGGCTAGCTGACATGGTTGATGCATCTCATCGTATCCCAGTTGCGTAAAGTGATGCTCACGATGTCAGTTACTGGAATGTCTTGGTATCTACAGATGGTCGTCATATAGCTTGAATATTGCTGAGTGTGGTGTTAAAAACAAACAATGTTAATTTGTAGAATGTGTGAAGCCCATTTCTGGTGTTCCCCGCCGTGATATTGCTGGAAAATTGCTAAAAGCGGCGTAAAACTAAACTCACCCACTCTTTCACTAATTTGTAGAATGGCCTTAAAGTAATTCTGAGGCAAACTGTAAAAGAAAAACTAAGTTATTAAGTGAAAGTGAAAGACGACCTTCTGAATGCCATCACATAAAATAGTAATGAAGTTTATACAAGCCGTAAAGGTTTTATGAACAGAGGTGAAACATGATAACAGCATAACGGGCACAAAATACGATATAGTTAAAGATTAAGATACAGATCTAACAATTGTATTTCATGCTGCCAACATTATTCCAAACATCGGTATTAAACTAGGCGTTGTATTGAGACCCCCACAATAAGGATATATACATATAAGATAGCTTGAACCTCGCTGATACACGCTTTATTGGGTTTCGTATTGATCGGGGTGAACAATTTCGTTCAAAATCAAGAGTTATCCCCCTTGCACCGCAAACATCCGCGTTTACATCCTTCATGTGTAATACTATTGTCCACAGCATCATCTAACATTTAACTGTACATAAAACATTAAATTCATACGCATGTTTGAATTGTCTGAATTCAGGAAACTACGTGTTATATTGTATGATGACATGCAAAAACAGGCAATAATTATGTACATTATGAGTTAATTTATACATGACAATATGAAGGTTGTCTAAATTATTAATACATGCAACATTATCTTTATGAAATATTCGACGCCTAACACCTGTGAGGGGGTTGTTTGCATCTCAGACCAGCTGCTTCCGCGTAGCAATGAGTGCAATGATATGAATACGAAATACGGACAACCCTCCAGAGCATCAAATACAAAAATCACAGTAAAGTTTGTATTAGAATGAAAAAGCTGTGATTAAAAAGCGGGTATGATGATCCTAGCACAGTCAGAATGGTTAGTCTCAGCTCAGAACCCTTGACCCTCTGCACGCAGCCCAGACAGCGATGGAGATCATCATCTCCATCATCATCATCATCATCATCATCATCATCATCATGTCTCGAGTCTGTCTAGCGGGTAACCGTCACGTTCCTTTACACAGTATCCATATCCACAGCCACCTTATGTTAACTAAATACATGTCGTACAATCATCTTCGCGATCCTGGTCTTAAATCTCCGCCAATTTGAACCACGAAATAGGATGACAATCAAGAAACGAAGTGTCACGCAAGACGTCTCGTACGACAGCAATAGCAACATATCATTGCAAAAAGAATCGGTTGTTCCTAGTGGGGAGCATGTTAAAGACGATACCGGTGACATCAAGCGATTAATTGAAATAGAAACTCCATTGATAACTCAATAACCAAAAGCAAACATTTAAATTTACCCATCCATTTTTTGTCACATATGCCGCAGGCTTGTATCTGATGCGAGAGCCGAAATCTCATCCCCGTATCGCCCACTATCAAATAAATTGTATTTGATTTGCTCCACCAATCTCAATCATCTAATCCCGAAATAGATAATATCATACCGACCTCAAACGAACTTTCTTTACCTGTTTATTTGTCTGAAAACTTTTAAAGCGCCATCTTCGACACACCTGCACGAATTCAGGGTAATTCAGCAACGCATGAACTATAGCTTACCAATTAGTCTCTCTCTCGCACGTGTGGGGCTCGGATTCTGCCGCAGGGAGAGCGAGTTCGTCGTTTTACCTCATATGAAAAGATACATATTTTCTTCAGAAATAATTCAACAGCGACACAGCTGTAACAGCCTATGGCTATCTTCATCTTGGTGCCAGTAGCTTGTTTAATGAAATTTGGGTGTCAAATTGTTCTAACTTAACCCGCCTCACTAACCGGTAACAAGCAGCCCCCGATTGAGATTCACAATACGCGAGATGCAATTCATGGCCGATTTATGAAACATATTAGATTTCTTTCAATCGGCCAATAGTCGCTTTCAAAAGGCAAGAAAAGATTATATCCATATAGAGAGTTACAATAAGGAATGAGGGACAGCGTTCTTTTAGAAAAGGGGGATGTTATTCTATCCCACTGGACCGAGACACAAGCCTTTACTCGACAAATCGAGATTTAATGGGATCGTATTATAGCATGGCGAAAATCAAACATTTTGAGCCGAGTGAAGAGTGGGAGTAATTTGACGTATAAACAGTGGAATCGTGTCTCTAAAACTGACGAAGTTGGGTGCCCCCAAGATATCACCCATGGAGAAAGGGCTAAAGAATTCCACGACAAAGGGCCAGTGAGAATTGATGAAGAGGGAGGGGCAAGCGCTGCCCCAGGGGCATGCGAAATAGGATTAGACCCAAGTACACGGCCCTCGGCCCATGCATGGAGAAATGAGGAGAAAATGTCGTCTGCTGCGAATCCGTTTTCGTCACATTTGCTACACCTCTCATCTTAGATAATTCAATGGCGGATACGATCCTTGCTTCTATATCGGGTTAATCCTTAACACCTCGTTACGTGAAAGATTCTCCTCTGAAAGAAGGGCTTCTTCTTCCTTAAATGGGAATCAAATTAGATACTGGATGAAATCTGTCCTCCTTTAGAAACATGCGCATCCTATCGAAAAGACTTCATTGCTGGGTCAATTTTCAAAACAGGTTACCGCGGGTGATACCGCCATGGTGTCCTCTTGTCCTCCCCACTTCACTGTGGAACCAGAACACACTGTTTCCTTGAAGTATGCCTCTCAAACATAACGAAACAAAAAGTCAGTGGAATGTGTACTGGAGCTGTCAAATCGTCGCTTAAGAAGCCTATGAGACTAAAACAAGGATCATCTTTGACGAACAAGCGCACCAACAATTGGTCTACAGAAAGTAATTTCTTTGAAAACTATGTGACGTTCTTGTACTATGCCGATTGAAGTACAACCTTACAGAAGAACAGATGCATCCAGATAGAAGGGGACTCGTGACAGTTTAGGATAGCAGGCGACCTAACTCTGACCAAATCATGTCGTGCCTCTATCTACTAAAACCTCACTATCACTCGGTGCATAGATGATCTGTGTCATCGCAATGTTTGGGGCGTGGATAGGCCAGTCGTCTAGGGCCTCGCAATTCGATATGCCTCTCTTATGGGTGTCTTAAGAGTATGGTCGTGGGTTCGAATCCATGTGGTACTGGGTTTACCAAAGTAGTAAGCGTTTCGGCCCTTTCCTCGGCCACCAACATCATCATCACCGCTGTTGGTGTAGTGGATAGTGTGTCTGTCTGGAGAAAGGAACGTCGCTGGTTCGATCCACTGCAGCGTCCTAAGTAAAGAGTCTGGGAGTTTTACGCCGGTTTGAGCAATATTCCAGCAATATCACGGTGGAGGACACCAGAAATGGGCTTTACACATTGTACCCATGCGGGGAATCGAACCTTCGGCGTGACGAGCGAACGCTTTAATCACTAGGCTACCCCACCGCCGCCTAAGTAAAGACGTTAAAAGATG